CTAAACTGTACATGTCTAGTCTAAACTGTACATGTCTAGACTAAACTGTGAATGTCTAGACTAAAGTGTACATGTATAGTCTAAACTGTATATATCTAGACTAAACTGTACATGTCTAGTCTAAACTGTGCATTTCTAGTCTAAACTGTACATGTATAGACTAAACTGTACATGTCTAGTCTAAACTGTACATGTCTAGATTCAACTGTACATGTCTAGACTAAACCTAACACGTCTAGAGCTAAACTGTGAATTTCTAGACTACACTGTACATGTCTAGCCTAAACTGTACATGTCTAGACTAAACTGTAAATGTCTAGTCTAAACTGTACATGTCTAGACTAAACTGTTCATGTATAGTCTAAACTGTACATGTCTAGACTAAACTGTACATGTCAAGTTCTAAACTGTAAATGTCTAGTTCTAAACTGTACATGTCTATAAGTTCTATACTGTACATGTCTAGTTCTAAACTGTACATGTCTAGTTCTATACTGTACATGTCTAGTTCTATACTGTACATGTCTAGTTCTAAGCTGTACATGTCTAGTTCTAAACTGTACAGGTCAAGTTCTAAGCTGTACATATCTAGAGCAAAAAAAAAAGATTGAGTTAGCGAAGGAAAATCTAGGACCATGCCAAGAAGTTGCGACACTTTAAATTCGATCCAGTCTTGAACATTTATCAAACTTTTTAATTCAGTCTGTATCTATGTCATGTATTACACTGCTAAATGAGAATCCCTATCATTTTCTTCCTAATATCAAACTTCACCCAAAAAATGTTAAATGATCAAATTGGATACTTATTTACTACCGCCGTTTTACCCACGCTTGAGCGTAAATTACGATTTTAGCTATTTTTCAAACTCAACAAAGAATTTCAAAGCTGAGACATTCCCGTGGTTCTCCAAAGTTCCCCAATCAAAATTTTAGGCAAATCGGTCAATGGGTTCCAGAGTTTTGATCGGACATACAAACAAACAAACACAGATTACTACTTTATATACTAAAATTACGCTCAGAATTCTAGATATTTGAATTTTTTTTTTCACAACAAAATGTTCTTAACCACGAAATACTTTACACGTACATGTTATTTAATATTGCGGTTTTTATAACAGTGTGTACAGCAAATACGGACCAGGTTCAAAGCTGTTCATCATGAACTATTTATTTTCATACTTAATTTCCAGTTTTTTTTGTATATGGAATCAGAATGCTCATTTGGATAGCAGCCAAAAAATAATATCAACATGTTAAAAAATAAGATAGTGTAAACATAATTTCAAGTGACCCTGTATGCAAAGATGACAATGTCCTTAGGTGGAAAAAATAATCAAAACAGCCAAGAGCTATTTTCCACCTAATTGCTTTATACTTGTACTGTTAATATAATCATCAATTTTGTGATTGTAAACTCTATCTGTATACAGATACATTTATTTTAGCAATAAACTTTATCTTATCTTATCTTATCTTAAAGTAAAAAGTGTGAAAATTAAAATAGGATTACATGGCTCTCAAAATGTAGTTTTTTTCTTTCACTTTTGTTTTGCTTATTGCGGATGTATAAGAAAGTTTAGGTTGGGTTAAAAAATAAAAATCTGTATTATCTTTTTTTTTCAGAGTTTGCTAAAAGTAACCATCTGAAAATGACTCGCCTAAATCTGCTTATAATATTTCCAATCTAAAGGTATGTAAGGGTACTATTTTATATTAAATATGTTATTATTCTATTGTCCCAGAAATGAATCAGGATGGCGTAAAATCCTTTACCACGGCATGATAGGCAATAATACCAATATAATGAAGACGACTTTTTTAAGTTGTACTATTAACATGCTTTTTCCGAATTACAAGTTTACAAGTAATTAAAGAGAAGCTTTTTTAATTGACAGCTTCTCTTTGTTTTCATTTATTTTGTATCTATGCTCAGATGCTGTGTAAACGCTTGATATAAATCAAAATTTAAGTCGAAAGTCGTCTTCATTGTAATGATATAATCGCCTACCACCGTACAATGTCACACATAATTGACAAAGTTTACTTAAGATTATGAATTTTGATTTTGATGAATTTAATAATATTTGTCAGAATTTTTGGTTAATTTCATTTAAATGCTTTGACTAAATTACAACATATTTGTTTACTAAAACAAGATTCGGGTTTTCGGGACTTTTTATAAACAAGATTTACTTCAGATTCTGTTCAGCTATCCAGTTTTTGTTCTTTATGTATTCCTAAAAATATCGATATATGTTTCTACTTAAAAAATTGCAGTAATCGATAAGTAAGTGGTTTATATAAGATCTTAGATATATAAGTCTACTGGCTTGGAAACCCAGATTTGTCTGGAAACTACACTTTCCATTTCCACTTTAGAATCGTTTAACCCAATCAATAAAACTCCCGTGGTTCTACCAAGTTTGATTTATGATCTAACAGCCCAAGAAACAGAAAGACTACATTTTATATATGCATGTATATATATAAAAGATTATGTAAGAGTAACTGATGTATAATAAATAATTTCAAAATACAGGTTTTCAATTTTGCACAGACCTTAAATACATTCATAAAACACAATTTCAGCTTTATGTGTCTATAAAAAAATATTGTATTTATACATTTAAAAAAAGAATTATTGAAGCTTCGTGCCTGTTTATATGACTAAATATAATATATATATATACATATATGCAAATTAGATTTAACGATTTTAGCAGATAAAAATTAAAAGATTTTATATATAATGATATACATATAATATATATATATATAATATATTTTTCTCTCTTTTATCAAACATTTATGTCAGATGGTCTCTAAAATTTGCTTTCTAACATCTATATAATTAGGAATAATTTAAATAATTTTATGAAATTAGTTTTGACAGGACAGATATATATTTTTGAAGACAAAAAAATAAGACGTTTGTTCAAGCAAACTAATTATAATTATATTACTGTGGGGGGGGGGGACTTTATACAACAATTTCAGATTAATTTTGATAACTAATCATGTCTTAAATGATTTGTCATTGTAAGATAATGCACATTTTTTGAATTGTGAAATTCTGACCCCGTTATATTTCACGCCAGAGACCATATGAGGTCCCAGATCTTGGCCCCTTTGGCTCTGCAATTTCAACGCGTTTTGAATTCACAACAATCTTGTATTCTGTATTTAGGATGAAGGGTAAAAATGAGGGTAAAGAAAGCTATGAGAAGGAGGAGAAAAATGAAGAAATTGAAAAAATGTTGATCACTGGCAAAAAAGGACTGTTCACCGAAGAAAAGAGGTAAAAGAGGAAAACAAATTTATTTCTAATTTTTAATAAATAAATAAATAAGTTAGAAAGATAAGATAAACAAAATTCGTTTTTATCCAAATGCTTTGCCGGACTGAAGACCATTTCTTTTTCAATGATAGCCGTCACTTCCGTATCCGCCATAGCCACCTCCTCCTCCATATCCGCCTCCGTAGCCACTGTCTCCATAACCTCCACCGCCATATCCGCCTCCACCATGGCCTCCGCCACCATAGCCTCCATAACCGCCACCTCCGTATCCTCCGCCTCCGTGACCTCCACCACCATAGCCTCCATAACCTCCGCCCCCATGGCCTCCGTAGCCTCCGCCGCCATGACCTCCACCGCCATAGCCTCCGCCACCATGACCACCGCCTCCATAACCTCCTCCCCCATATCCTCCACCGCCATGACCACCACCTCCGTAACCTCCTCCTCCGTATCCTCCGCCGCCATGGCCTCCACCTCCATACCCTCCTCCATGACCACCGCCTCCATAGCCTCCACCGTGTCCCCCACCTCCGTAGCCTCCATGTCCTCCCCCACCATGACCTCCGCCATAACCACTGCTGTATGTTTCAACTTCTGCTACCTCGGCCTCGGCATATTCATCTTCTGACCTCGCAAGGCCTCCTAAGGCCAGCAAAGCCAATCCGAGCCTGCTTAAATAAAATTTGAATTATTTAATTTTTCTGAAAACATGTCTTTCAAACTAATAAGAGACAATAATTCAATAATAATAAACCTTAATAAAAAAATAAAGCCATGAATCAGAAAAAAAATACAACTCAAGATTTAGGCAAAGAAAATAAGAAAAAGTCAATTAGAATTTTTAAAAAAGTGTGTCTTAGTGTAGTTTTGGAATTATTCAATGAATACTAAAAAGTGGTGACTGTATATAAGTTTGCAAAGGTAAAAGTATTTTTTGAAAGCACAATTTAACAGAAAATTTTTATTTGTTTTTTGTGTCTATTAATTAACAAAATCTAAATCAAACATTTGATAAACTTACAAATTATTAAAAATGTTGGTGTATTAAAATTAAAAGTTTTTAAAATATTCAATTATACAATGAAACTAATAATTCAAAGAAAATTTAAAATTTAACAAAGGAAATGATTTTTCGCAACAAACTAAAAATTATAATCCCTATATATGTTCAACCCGATGTCGTAGATCTTTGATATTTCAAACTATGAATTCCGTTAGACCAAATAGCCTGAGTTTGAAATATCAACGGTTTATAGCATCAGGTTACAAAGAAATGGGGATTAAACATGTGAGTTTGTGGCAAAAACTCAATTCCCTTGCTTGAATTATTTCAACTGTTACCTTTTAAGCTGCATAATGGTGATTATTGTTGTTGTTCAGTAGATCAATACCAGCTCACTGTGCTGTTGTTGAGCTATTGATCTATGTCAGCTCACTGTGAACTTTTGGCCTAATTAGCACCTTATATATAGTTCAACTTTACACCTTAATCATTGAAGTCTTTACAGATAGGATAGCATACACAGGAGTTAACCAAAAGTGTGGGGGGGGGGCAATTATTATTTTAATTATCCCCCCTTTATTGTAATTGTATATCTAACAAAAAATTACACTGAACTCCCCCCTCCTTCCCGCACACCCCTTTTCCCTCTCACGCCCCTGATTTAGCGACAGCAAAGATAGGAATGATTTTGTGGATTATCCAGCTGAACAGATGAACCAGCAAATTCATCTGTGCATTCAGCTGTCATTCTTCCTAGCCTGTATTCAACTATTCATTAGGATGTCTTGAAAAAGATTTTAAAGTATGCACCCAAGTTTTCTTTATTCTAAGAGGTTCCCAGAGCTCAAATATAACTAAACGCTTTGTGTAAAAATCATTTCAGAAAAATGCAATTTTTAACTCTTTAAACATTTAAACAACTGCTAAGCAAGACACTTTGACTATTTTTGACAACAATTGTGTAGTTTAGTTCTAAAAATGTTTTTGTGCATTAATGGTCATGTACACTGACCGATTGAAATTATTCATTCTTTGAAAAAGTTCTAATTTTGAAAGAGCCCATTTTTCGTTCAAATTTTATTTAATTTCTTAGATTTTGTTGAAGCTATATTCTAACTAAAAATACCATAGAAGATGAGAAGACATGGCCGGGAGCATGTCAAGATCTATATTTTTTTTAGACACCCTACTTTTCATGGATGAATGAGTTGACTAATGGATAGACATGTTTAGAGTGACAAAAAATATTTCTTAAAAATCTAAAATTAAATTATTTACTTTTTTAGAAAAGAAACAAGTTTTCTACGAACATTTGTCAAAACTATTATTTTTGAATATAAGATTAAACGGAGAATAAGCGTGGATTTGCTAGGTTCAGTCAATATTTCAGAAAGCAGTAACTTTCGATCACAATTTGGCCCATCAAACATAATTTTTTCTTAAATACTTTTTTGTCGGCATATACGTTTTGAATAAAAAAGTTTGAATGAACAAATCAAGATTGTGGAATCGTAGACCGAAATATGTTTGATTTCAAATAAAAGAAATAGAATGCTTCCCACTCTGGCACCGGCAACCTTTAAGTTTTAACCCAAAAAATTAAAAACTTGTGACTTTATTATTATTATTATTATTATTATTATTATTATTATTATTATTATTATTATTATTATTATACCTCCCCCCCACTTTCTCTGAATATATTCGTGAGATACTGAGTGTTCTGGCGGTCAGCATTGGCTGCTTTATACATGGGACTAGGTAATAAAGAGATCCACACAATACAGTAGTTCACAGAGTTTATGATTTCAGTGGTCCATTCAATATAATTTTTCATAGAATACAGTAGTACGTCAACACCCAGGAAACATAACTGGATGATACATCTAGATGATAACTAGTTGTCCTAAACTCTACTTCAAAACTCCACTTAAACTCGACTTTAACTCCACTTTTGAATTCCAGTCACCAACTGGGTGAAATCTGGGTGCAAAAATTCGACTTAAACTCGACTTTTTGAATGCAAGTGTAGAATAAAGAGACCCAGAATACAAAATAAAATTAACCGTAAAATACTGTGGTTCACCGATTTTAGGGATATAGAGAACTGACCTAAAATATTTTTAAAACCATTTAAACATTTTTTTATACCTATTTTTTTTATTTACTATCTTGTCGCCTTCCAAAACCAATTTCAATGCAAACTAGTGGAATATTTCATGCATTTTTCATGTATTTTTTATTAATTTTTCATGTATTTTTCATGCATTTTTCATGCATTTTTTACACATATTCATTTTACATTTCCTTGATTTCAATTTGGCTTTTTTCTTTCAGTTTTGTTTGGCCGATCGTTCTACCAAAGATAATCAGGTATTTTCCAGAAATATTTGATAATTTTTTTCTTGCCAATTAAGCCTTTCTATCTTGTAATCTTTCTACCTTGTAATCTTTCTATCTTGTAATCTTTCTATCTTGTAATCTTTCTATCTTGTAACCTTTCTATCTTGTAATCTTTCTATCTTGTAATCTTTCTATATCTTGTAATCTTTCTATCTTGTAATCTTTCTATCTTGTAATCTTTCTATCTTGTAATCTTTCTGTCTTGTTATCTCTCTATCTTGTAATCTTTCTATCTTGTAATCTTTCTATTTTGTAATCTTTCTATCTTGTAATCTTGAAACGTTGCTGTTTTCAGTGGTACTTACAATTACAATCTTTTTAATTCTATATTTTTGGGATCAATTTGCACAGCTTTTGACGTGAAATTATCCTGCATGTTATTTCCGTAAAAAAGTATTGAGCCCGTTTGTTTCAGCCGTTTTGACTTTTATTTGATAAAAAAAGGGAAACATGATGTTTCTGTGAAAAAATTAAATTATTTTTCAAATAATTTTTTTTGTTTTTTTTTTCTCTCAAAGTTTGCTACAAAGTTATTTACAATGACTAGAGAAAGAAATAAGAAAAAATCTAAAATATTTCTTTATTTTTATTAATTTTTCTTAAAATCTTCATCCAGTGATTCCAACTCTTCTCTGGCCAACGTGACCGGCAGCGGGTATACAGGATACTCAATAGATCCAACCACTGATGTTTCATGGATAGGTATAAATTTGATAAACAGGGTGTCCCACTAAACCTGGAAATACAGGGTGTCCCACTAAACCTAGCAATACAGGGTGTCCAACTAAACCTGGAAATACAGGGTGTCCCATTAAACCTGGAAATACAGGGTGTCCCACTAAACCTAGAATACAGGGTATCCCACTAAACCTAGAAATATTTAAATGTATGTTTCAGTTAGTATTTTGGTGTTTGGTAACTTTAAATGTATGTTTCAGTAAGTATTTTGGTGTTTGTTAACTTTAAATGAATGTTTCAGTTAGTATGTTGGTGTTTGTTAACTTTAAATGAATGTTTCAAGAAGTATGTTGGTGTTTGGTAACTTTAAATGAATGTTTCAGTAAGTATTTTGGTGTTTGGAAACTTTAAATGAATGTTTCAGTAAGTATTTTGGTGTTTGGAAACTTTAAATGAATGTTTCAGTTAGTATTTTGGTGTTTGGAAACTTTAAATGTATGTTTCAGTTAGTATTTTGGTGTTTGGAAACTTTAAATGTATGTTTCAGTTAGTATTTTGGTGTTTGGAAACTTTAAATGTATGTTTCAGTTAGTATTTTGGTGTTTGGAAACTTTTTGGGAGGAGTCATCAGTGCACCACTTAGTAATACTTTAGGTAATACTTTTTTTCTTTTTCATTATCACATAGATATAGGCATTCATGCAAGTTATTATTTCAATTTGACATTTAAGCAATCACAACGCCATGGCCATTTCACTTTTTGTAGCCCCAGACATTTAAATAGTAAAACTGAACTAAGCTGGGAACTTTTGAATAGTGCATATCGGGAATAATACTTCATCCACTCTTTTTCTTAATCTTAAATAATGCTTGTTCTCCTCTTGTTATTAATCTCCTGAGCTGAAAACTAATTAACCGATCGGGATTAAGGATATTCCATTATAAAGTTTTCAGCTCAGAGCTGTAAACTTTAGAATGGTGGATATCGAGATCAATGCTTAATCCTTTCTTTTTACTAATTTTAAGATTAATTTAGTCTTTAGATTAATTTCTAGAGATTACAGATGCACTCTTTTTCATTAAAAAAACACTTTTTCAAAATTTAAAGAGCGCATCTCTGATCTCTAGAAATTAATCTCATGACTGAATTAGTCTTCAGATTAGCAAAAAGAGAGGATCAAGCATTGATCTGGATATCCCCTATTCTAAAGTTTTCAGCTCTAAGCATTCTAAATTTAGTGTCAAGGTGTTATTGGTAAATTCCTTAATTTTAGCTTGAGAGCTTGCATATTTTAGCACGTTGAGAACATTACAAATCGAAGAGGCAAACTTTTTTGTTGTTGGATTAATAAAATCTTTAAAATTTTCATTCTTCAGAGGGGTGCATGTTTGTCAAAATCTGAAGGACAAATTAATCATTTTCTCTATTTTGATTTCATATCGGAAAATGATTCAAAAATGACCACTTTATTTTAAAAACTCTGCGGAATGAACCATTTTTTCGAACAAACTTTAAAAGACTAAATAATTTCTGACGACTGAAAAAAACGAAATAAGTCAATGAGCGTTATAGAGAAGATTTTTAAAAGGCCGAACGAGCCCATCTCTACCCTTAACAGGGAGGCAATCAAAACAATCTTTTTGATAGTTTAAATTTTTTTGTAAAATTACTTTGAACATTAGGACGTAGGCTGACCTTGATGCTGGGAGTTGGGGGTATCTTCGGTCTGTCTTATATCCTAGTTTTAACAGCTGTACAGGTAATATTCATCTGTCATCTGTCATCTGTTATATATTCTTGTGAAATATTTTTTTGTTTTTCTGTTTATAAATTTTTATTTTTAATTTGCAACCTTTGACAGTCCCCTTAATTTCTCCCCTTGTTTAAGGTTAGCATGCTGTATTTGGCTCGAGTTCTCATGGGAATAGGATTAGGAATATCTACTTCAGTTTCTACCGTCTATATACAGGTATAGTTCAAGGAACAGAGGGGCGTATACAGGAATATCTACTTCAGTTTCTACTGTCTATATACAGGTATAGTTCAAGGAACAGTGGGACGTATATAGGAATATCAACTTCAGTTTCTACCGTCTATATACAGGTATAGCTCAAGATAAGATACAGTGGGGCATATACAGGAATATCTACTTCAGTTTCTACTGTCTATATACAGGTATAGTTCAAGGAACAGTGGGACGTATATAGGAATATCTACTTCAGTTTCTACCCTCTATATACAGGTATAGTTCAAGATAAGATACAGAGGGGCGTATATAGGAATATCTACTTCAGTTTCTACCGTCTATATACAGGTATAGTTNGGGGTTCTTTTTTAATTGTCCGGGAGGGGGCTCATGTAGTTCCCGTTTGAGTATGAATACTCCCTGCTGGGAATTATTGTTTTGACTTATTACAAGGGGGTGGGCTAAGTTCTGTATGCGCCATATATGAGGAGGAAGCATCTGATTATATTAGCAAACTTGAACCAATAATATTAAATACGAGATTTTACAAAAAATATTCCGAGGTCGTAACTTTTGTTTTGTTATCTTTTATTCCTTCAAAAGGTTTCAGTCCGTATATTTCATAGTTCGACGGAATTATGTTGATTACTCGTGGATACCTCTAAAGTTCGATAAAATATGATACATCTGTTTTCAAGGATAAAGAAATTGAGTTTTTGCAACAAACTCTAATTTTCTAAACCCTACATCTATGCAACCCAATGTCATAGACCTTTGATATTCCAAACTACGAATTCTGTTAGATCAAATAGTTTAAGCGTGAAATATCAAAGATTTACACTATCAGGTTGCGAAGATATTGATATTAGAAAATTCGATTTCGTGGTAAGAACTCAATTCCTTTGACATAGATTTAAAATTAAATGCATTGTGGATTAACACAATCAAAACTAAAGTTCCAAACTTTGTTTAAAATATCAACATAAAGTTATTGTTTAAACATTTATAACGTTTTTAACATATTCAGGATATAGCTAGCCCTAAGATCCGTGGCAGTTTAGGGGCTATACCTTCCGTAGCAGGGGCCCTTGGAGTATTCTCATTTCAGGTCAAATAAATCAATTACTTAAATATTTGATAAATCAATCATAAAATCAAATTTTTGAATAATCAATCAACGAATCAAACAATTACACAATCAATTAACTAATCAAACGTTATGAGTAATCATTTCACAAAAATAAAATATTTAAGCAATTATTTCAATAATAACACATTTCAGAAATCAGTTTTGCTCGAAGTAGCTGAGTTATCTTAATCAAATCTTTCGCAAATCATTAAAATCTGAAATAATTAGAAATTAAAGTGAATTAAAACAAAAACAATTTCAGATTCTGAATGCATTTATAACCTGGCGTCAGCTGAATGTGCTTGGCGCCACCCTAAGTATTCCATTAATCCTGGCGCTAAGCTTCCTTCCCGAGAGTCCAGTTTTTCTAGTTTCCAGGTAAAACTTTTATTTTAAAATTTAAAGTAAAAATATCCATCTTTTCCCAATTCTTTTGGAAGAGCAACATGTAGTGATTATACTTATCCAGGTTAGGTTATTTAAAATAGATAGATAGTCACGGAAGGTTGCTATTTCCAGAGGAACTGTCGGTCCAGTGATTTGATAAGAAATCACACATTTCTTTTTTCGCCTCATTTTATTTTAGGCAAAAATTGAAAGCTGCAGAAAAGGCTTTGCGAGCTCTAAGGTTAGTTCTGAATCAGATATACTTAAAAAAAAGATTCTATCCCGTAAAAAAATCTTAAAAACTAATCCTCCCCATTAAATTATTTCTCTAAAAATGATATAATGAAAACATAATTTTCCTAAAACAAATTGTTTTTCAAAAAATGTATTTTTTTAAATCAAAATATGTTTTAGAGGTCCAAATTATGATGTACAAAGTGAACTAAAAAGTTTGCAGGCTAGACAAGGTAAAACTTTTATATTTTCTATATAATAAAACAAGACATTCGTATATATATAGGGTGTCTATAGCCGGCCAAACGGCTGGACCGATTGGGCTGAAATTTGTTGTGGAAACTCAGTGGTGGCTAAAAAATCAGAAATTTTTTTCAATTTTTTTTTAATTATAAAAAAATCCACGGGCAACGCCGGGCCCTTCAGCTAGTGTATAACAAAATTAGTTGTAATTGAAAAAAAATACAACATACCAATACAAAAAAAAACAATGCGATAGAATAGCAATATTGTAAGTTAAATGTTCTTAATATTCTGATTTTATTTTTAGATAAATCAGGAAAATCTACCAAGAGTAGAATGTCTTTCGCAGTTCTTAAAGATAAAGAGGTAACAGTCGGTAATACTAAACAAAATCAAAACGTATTAAATTTCCAAAATTAAAAACGTTGTTTAAATAAAAAAATACAAAGAAAAAGAAAAAAGACTGAAAATGTCAAAATTAGAAAAAAAGTTAAAATAGAGTGCTTTAAAATGAAAAAAAGCTATCAAGACAGTTTAATAAAAACAGCCAACTTTGATTGTTACAAAAAAAGCAAATCAAAAGCAAAGTAAAAAGGCAAAAATATAGTCCTGGACCATGAATTAAAATTTCAGCTCCTGGTGTGCAATATAGCAATATCCAAGAAAAAAGAAAAATATAATGAATTTGTGTTTATTTGTATGTTTAGGTTTTAAAACGTGTTTTTATCAGCTGGATGCTACTTATCTTATTAAATGCTTCAGGAAATTGCAAAAAAAAGTACTACTACGAATAATGATTTAATAATAATTATAATGATATTTATAATGATATACGTATATATATACGTATCAATAATAAAAATAACAATAATAGAGATATATTTAAACTCTCAAAATCTCATTAATTTTTTTAATTGCAATTTTAATTAGGTGTTGGTTTGGTAATGAGTTATACAGGTAATATCCCTCATAATTGTTCGTTCTTGTTTCTTATATAACAATAGGAACCTAATTTACAAGAGCTAGTATGAAATAAAAAAGAATCAGAACGCTGTGTAACACATAGGTTTGAGGGAAAAAAAATCAGCACGCTGTGTAACTGGGTAAAACATAGGTTTGAGAAAAAAAAGAATCAGAACGCTGTGTAACTGTGTAACACATAGGTTTGAGGAAAAAAGAATCAGCACGCTGTGTAACACATAGGTTTGAGGGGAAAAAAATCAGCACGCTGTGTAACTGGGTAAAACATAGGTTTGATGGAAAAAGAATCAGCACGCTGTGTAACTGTGTAACACATAGGTTTGAGGAAATAAAGAATCTCTTTATCTAAGCTTGACATATTTTTTTAAATGAAACCCTGCCTGCAAACTCTATATTTGTAATGTTTCTAGCCAACAGAATATCATTAATTGAGAAGATGCACAAAATTTATAATCTTTTGTAAAATATATTGGCCGCTTGCTTTCATCCAGCGCAGAGTTATTCTATTAAAAATCAAAAACCTTGAGATATTTCCAAAAAATAAAATAGTTAATTTGTTAAGGATAAAAATTTGAAATAATTAAGTCCTGTATTTTCATGAAGGGCTCAATGGAAACTGCTTACATCTTCTTTTTTATAAGAAACATAAACTCATGACTTTTGACTTTGAATTTGAATTGGGAAGTTTGTTGAAAATAAGTATTGTATAATGTATATAAGATTAAATATAATCATCAAAATTGGAATCAGATTATTTTTTTAGTTCAAATCTTCCAATCTGTGAATAGTTCAGTAGATGAGTTCGTTGCTACAATATATGTCGGAAGTGCACTTCTAGCAAGCAATGTTGCTACAGTTTTACTAGCTCATAAGGTGACAAAACACTCATTTAATGGCTGATTTTCTAGCTCATAAGGTAACAAAACACTCATTTAATGGCTGATTTTCTAGCTCATAAGGTAACAAAACACTCATTTAATGGCTGATTTTCTAGCTCAACAAAACACTCATTTAATGGCTGATTTTCTAGCTCATAAGGTAACAAAACACTCATTTAATGGCTGATTTTCCAGCTCATAAGGTAACTTAACACCTGTTTTTAATGAGCTCACAATGTAATAAAACAGCTGATTTGATTTTCTGCTCATAAGGTAACTTAACAACTGACTTTCTAGCTCATAAGGTAACTAAACAGCTGTTTTTTTCTCATAAGTTAACTAAACAGCTGATTTCATACTAAGCTCATAAGGCGCCTAAACAGATAATTGTCTAACTCATAAGGTGCCTAAAATGCTGTGTTTCTACCTCATAAGGTAACTAAACAGCTAATTTTATATATAATAAGGTAGCTTAGCTGATTTTAAAGCTCACAAAGGAACAGCTGATTTTCTAGCGAATAAGGTAACTAATAAACTGATTTTCCAGCTCATAAGGTAACTTAACACCTGTTTTTAATGAGCTCATAATGTAACTAAACAGCTGATTTGATTTTCTGCTCATAAGGTAACTTAAAAACTGACTTTCAATTTCGTAAGGTAACTAAACAGCTGTTTTTTTTCTCATAAGGTAACTAAACAGCTCTTTTTTTCTCATAAGGTAACTAAACAGCTGATTTCATACTAAGCTCATAAGGTGCCTAAACGGATAATTTTCTAACCCAACTCATAAGGTGCCTAAGCAGCTGTTTTTCTAGCTCATAAGGTAACTAAACAGCTGATTTTCTAGCGAATAAGGTAAAAACAGCTGATTTTATAGCTCATAATGGAACTTAAGAGTGAATTTATAAAGATTCACATACAATACTTTTGGGAAGATATTAATTATTTCCGTGGCCGGGGACGCTGATATAAATAAAGCCATTTAAATGATCGAAAATGTTTGATAAACATAATTGAATTTTGGCAAAGTCCCTTTTTCAGTTACCTCGAAGAATTATGATGATGGTATCTTCTCTTGGTATTTCTGCAACATTAGGTATTTAGTTATATTTTTTTTCAGTTAACTATTTTTAATGTTTCTTAATATTAAAGCCTAATAATTAGATTGTTGGAACAGTACATAGAATTCCATTTCATGGATTGACGTTTCATGCAAAAACATTTTATTGAAAGGAAATTTCATAGATAAGCAATTTCAGGCATTTAATAGACAAAATGTCCCATCTGTAAAATGTCCTGTCTGTAAAATGTCCTATCTGTAAAATGTCCTCTCTGTAAATTGTAAAATGTCCTCTCTGTAAAATGTCCCATTAATGACTTTTCCTGATATTTTTATCTAAGAAATATTTTTCAATGTCCCAACACCAATTGTATAGTTTCAAGACCAAATTTTATAAATCCCAACATATTTTCTTGGGACAACCTGCATAGTAATTATTATTTCTGTTTTGTTTAGCTATTCTTGGTTTATCCTACCAGCTGCAGGACTGGGAGAAACAATGTATTGAACTAGGTGACAACAGAATAATGGAAAATTAATAATTTCATTTTTTTGAAAATATAAGATTTCCTGAGAACAAAATGTGAATGGAAACCATAACAATTGTAATATACTATTTCAATGATTAATAATCAAGTTGCAAACTCAAATATAATAACTATATATAACGCTTTTATTTTGGTTCGCAATGTTAAAGTTTTTGGACAGAAATTTTCTCTTTGTCGAGAAGGTTCGAGCCTTTTTAGATTTTATTTATTCCGAGAACCAATCAAAAATTTAAAGCACACTATTATGTACAGCTAATATAACTTTATACCACGTTTATAATAAAATTCACCAAGAATTGAGTAAGAATGATAAAGTACACAGTACATACTTGTTTCATAAAAGTTTATTTACAAAAATTTATTTAAAATTTTCTTATTAATATTAAATGTATTCAGGAAAAATAAGTGCTGAAGGATGTAGTTACGGAAACCTGGGTTAGTATCTATCTATCTATCTATCTATCTATCTATCTATCTATCTATCTATCTATCTATCTATCTATCTATCTATCTATCTATCTATCTATCTATCTATCTATCTATCTATCTATATATCTATCTATCTATCTATCTATTTATCTATCTTTCTATCTATCTATCTATCTATCTATCTATCTATCTATCTATCTTTCTATCTAGGCTGGTTACCCCTGTGTACCCTGATGATCTATATATTTGTTTTCAATCTTGGTATCGGAGCAATGGTCTTCATCACAATGGCAGAGATACTTCCCCCGCATGCCAGGGAGATAGGGATGAGGTAGACAGTCTCCTTTTTTCCCATTTTTTTCTAATGTTTTTTCATTTTCTTTTTTCTTTTTTTCTTTTTCCTTTTATTTTTTTATTTTTTTTCTTCATTTTTTTTGATTTATTGTTTTGCTTTTTATTGTTTTTTACTTTTATTTTTTTTTTCTTGATTTTTTCCTTTTTTCACAATTTTTTGAACTATGGAATAAAAAGACGTTTGTTGTACTCAAGTTATGATTTTTTATAGTTTAATAAAAATGAAACACAACATTTCTCCAGTCTACACAGAAAATTTATAATTGTTTTTCAAGCTGCTGGTAAGGGGTAACTAATTGTTTCATAACATTATTAAAAGATTGCGGAAATGTCGTCTTCTCATTTCGCAGTTTTAATTGTCTTGTTACTGTGAGATCCCCAGAACTTTGAATTTATTAACTGAAAGTAAAGATGTCTTAGGTTAAATTCTTATTATTACCAGTTTAATTTCGTTTTTAAATTATAAATATAAACAAAAATTGTTTCTTTTAAGGAATACAATGTAAAGAGTCAAAACCATAAGAACTCCGAGGTCATGTATTCAGACGAAAAATCAATAAAATATAGTTTTATTAGTTTAAGAAGATATTTTTTTTAGTCTTTGTATTGCGTTGTCGAGTCCTACAGCCTTTCTTGTTCAGTACTCCTTCCCCTACCTCCTACAGGAGCTTAAGGGACAAGGAGTTTTCTGGTTATATTCATCCCTATCTCTAGCAGGTAAATAATTCAAGGGGTTTATATTCATCCCTTTCCCTAGCAGGTTAATAATTCAAGGAGTTTATATTCATCTTTATCTCTAGCAGATTAATAATTCAAGGGGTTTATATTCATCCCTATCTCTAGCAGGTTAATAATTTAAGGGGTTTATATTCATCCCTATCTCTAGCAGGTTAATAATTCAAGGATTTATTCATCCCTATCTTTAGCAGGTTAATAATTCAAGGGGTTTATATTCATCCATATCTCTAGCAGGTTAATAATTCAAGGAGTTTATATTCATACTTATTTCTAGCAGGTTAATAATTCAAGGAGTTTATATGTATCCCTTTCTTTACCAGGTTAATAACTCAAGGAGGTTATATTCATCCCTTTCTCTAGCCGGTTAATAATTCAAGGAGTTTATATGCATCCCTATCTCTAGCAGGTTAATAATTCATGGGGTTTATATTCATCCCTATCTCTAGCAGGTTAATCATTTAAGGGGTTTTTATTCATCCCTATCTCTAGCAGGGTTAATAATTCAAGGTTAATATTCATCCCCATCTCTAGCAGGTTAATAATTCAAGGATATATTTATCCCTATCTCTAGCAGGTTAATAATTCAAGGGGCTTATATTCATCCATATCTCTAGCAGGTTAATAATTCATGGTTTATATTCATCCCTATCACTAGGAGGTTAAAAATTTAAGGAGTTTATATTCATCCCTATCCCTAGCAGTTTAATAATTCAAGTTTTTAAGACAATAAAAAAAAAAAATTTAGAATTTACGATAATGAGACATGTAAAAACTCTAGAATATGAACAAGAAACAAAGCACTTATGCAATGTAAACCACCCCATCACTTGATTTTAGTAAAGTACTTAATTTTCTGTTGATTTTTGTGGGCTTCACTGTAAGACATTGTATTTTTTTCCAAATTAAGATTTGTGTTTCACAGAATTATTTAGAATTCTTGTTTATATCATGCACATTTAGGGTTTTGGAATTTATAATCATATAATCCAAATGACTCATAAGATCAAAGATGATACTTTTAGACTTTAAAAAAACGTATTTTGATTTAAGGATTCGTTTTCATCACGTTCATGATTCCTGAGACCCAGGGTAAAACTGATCAACAGATTCAACAACAGATGCAATCAAATCAATCAGATAAACTGAACCAGGAATCTACAGTATCCATTGCAGATCAAAAAGTGGTGCAAAAATCTACAGTTTAAATCAGAAACTGGTGCAAAATTCCCCACTTTAATCAGAAACGTGCCGAAGTCCCCAGTTAAATCAGATACTGGTTCAAAAGTCCCAAGTTAAATCAGATACTGGTTCAAAAGTCCACAGTTAAATCAGATACTGGTTCAAAGTTCCCAGTTAAATGAGAAAGTAGTGCAAAAATCCCCAATTTAAATCAGAAACTGGTGCAAAAGGTCCCAATTTAAACTAGAAATTCGTGCAAAAGTCCCCAATTTATACCAGAAATTGGTGCAAAAGTCCTTATATTTTAATCAGAAAGTGGTGCAAAAATCTCCACTTTAGATCAGATACTGGTGCAAAAGTCCCCAGTTTAGATAAAAAAAATTGGTGGAAAAATCTTTAGTTATAATCATAAAATGGTACAAAAGTCTCCAGTTCAGATCAGAAAGTGGTGTAAAAATCTCCAATTTAAATCATAAAGTGGTGCAAAATCTCATGTTTAAACTGCAAAAATCTCTTATTCTCATTCACAATCGTTGCAAAATATCATTGTTAATATATAGGCATACAATCAATGGTTTAGATTTGATTTTATCTCGACATGGAAGCTTTCTGAGGGCAATCTTTCAATTTTATTATTTAGAAACTGACTTTGAAATAATTTGCAACCTGAGGGCAATCTTTCAATTTTATTATTTAGAAACTGACTTTGAAATAATTTGCAACTTAGAAATTACGGTCTCTGAATCAATAAATGAATATTTTTTTATAACCCCCATTTTTAGGGCGGAAAAATTGAACCGTTGTCTATTTATATATTATCAAAGTTATATTTTTTGAAAATCTCTCAAACAGATTTTTCAAAATCAATTTTTTTACATTTTGATAAAGAAAAAATTCTAAAACATTTAATTTTGAAAACAACGAGACTGATATTCCACTATTCAAGCTTCTTTTTAAAATATGGCTGTGCACAACAAATCGTACAGAGAGTTCCAAAAAAAATCAATTCGCAATCATTAAAAAGTCACTTTTTTACTTTGTTTTAGATCGTTAAAGTTCGTCCCTTTTTTCTTTAGCCACTATTTCTTTTTCACTGATGGTATACACCACTGATCAAAGATACAATTTTGAATTAATTTAAATTTAAATTTGTGAATTATTTTTACCAACATTGATCATACCAAAGAAAAGAACAGATAACAGATAAGAAATAAGAAATAAGAAGAACAGATAAAAAATGTCAAATTTTCATCAAACATGGAGCACTGGAGCCAAATTCAACTTAAATTTAACTAAGTTAAATTTTGCTCCGTTGCTCCAACAAAATGTATTTGAAGTTTGACATTTCTTAAAAAGCAAACTTCAAAAAAAAAACTTGTTTGGAACACCTTTTAGTATATACTGTACCTTTTTATACAGGGTAATAAACATGGGAATTAATTGCCGACTTCTAGATCGTGTTTGTTCCAAGCGGGATTACTTCGTAAACATAGTTTTGTGTATCACAGTTAAACATTTTTCACGTAAAACTGTTAGTCCTGGGATTTCCAAAATGTGGTCTACCATTTTTTTATCTTCAAAATTGAAGGAGATATTAGGAAATTTGTCCAGATTCCGCTTTAACACAAATCAACAAAATCTTTAATATCTCTTAAATATCTTAATTTTATAGATACTAAGATGTTTTGAAATCTCATAGAAGTTTCATCTTTTTTTGATGCACTTTATGTAATTTATCAATTATCGGAAATGAAAGACGATAGTCAAGTCGTCTCTCCATTCCAATGTTAATTGGGACATCTGTGCCATGCATTTTCTCACTCAGCCTTGTATTTTTAGCTTCTAAATTAAGCAGCCGACAAAAAAAGTTCAATATAATGAATTTTTTTTAAACATTGCAGCTCTTACAAGTTAAAACAAAGATTTTTACCGTTTTGGTTGTTTTTTAAATAGTCTTTTTCTTTTACAATCTTGAAAAGATCACCCTGTGTGCATAACTAAGCCTTTGCATTGGGATTAGGATCTCTCAAAATTCTAGATAAACAAAACATGATAAACATGATTTATCATGCTTGTATTTTTTACTGACAAGGGTTAGTACAAATTAACAAAAAAACGTTTGAAAATAAAATTAGGTTTAATTTTAAAAAAATAATTCAAAACGTGTGTTTTATACTATTTACAATAAAAGCTCAATTTAAGCTCAAATAAATATTTTCCCTTCAAAATGAGATTATCATGTATTCTCGTGTAGTGTATACACAGTAGATCCCAGAAACACATCATGAATAACGAAGACGACTAGAGAAGACAATGTTCGAAATGTTCAAAAAAAAAATTTTTTTTCTATTGCTGGACTGTTTTACATGTCAAGTCTCAAATAAATGGGTTTTAATTTTTAATTTTTAGTAAATTTAGTAAATTGACAAAATTAGAGCTTGCTTTCAGATTGTCTTTTTATGCAGATTTTGTTGATTAACCATTGTTACCAAATTTATTTTTGTATGTACTGTGCTGCGCTTTTAAACTATGTATATAGAGTAGACTGTTAAAATATTATTGCTGCCTTACATTCTCGTGATTCTTGTGATTATAATTTTGGTACAATTTTACTAAATGTATCTAATTCAAAATAAAATAATAAGTCTACAGAAATATGATTTATTTATTTGAATGTAATTTTTTGCATTAGATTGTACTTTTACAGAAATTTATAGCATTTTCAGAAGATATATTTATTTTTTGAAAATCTCAAATTTTCCAACTATTCGCACTGCTGAAATCCAGACCTAGCGCAGGTTCTGCACACAAATTTGCAATCTTTGTCTTCACAAACTTCAGAACATTTAAAATCCTCAAACTCAACCGGATTAGGGATAGATGGTTGGAATTCATTAGCTTCGCCCTTTGAAGTCGTCTTTGTCTCAACATTGACGTCGAAAAGCTCGACCAAAAACCGGTTCTCAGGATCTGGTTTGGTTTGGTTCGACGGAGTGTAAACAAACTTTCTCAGTTCAGCGGCCGCTTTTAAAATTGAAAAGGCTGAAAACGCCTTGCGAGCCGATTCCACTGCCACAGCTGACGTGTATCTGGTGACCTGTGCCGGAAAAACAGCAGACTTCTCCAAATCCGCGGCCATGTTGGCAGCATGAGCCATGATGGCGGATGCCTTACCAAGAACCAAGGCTTCTCCAGCTACTTTTGCTGCAAGATCAGAGGCTTTATCTGGATCCTGTTCGTTAGTGTTCAGTGATTTCTGGATTAGGTCCTCAGTTTGTTCAAGCATTGAACCAACAGCCTTAGCTAGCTCAGAGATTTCTCTGCCTAAACGTTATAATGATGAGTAAGTAATGTTCAACACATGTTAGCTTTAGGACAGGAACTAATCGACTTTTTGATGAACACAATATTCTAATTTTAAATGAATTGACAAAGCAAGTTTTTAATAACAATAATTTCAGAAACTTCTAAAAAATCCTTTTTCTAAGGATGACCATTGACCATTATGCTACAGCTAAACCCTAAATAAGCCATACATTGAAAGAATTCATCAAATGTTATTATTATGATAATGATAAATGATTATATGGAACTCTTTAAAACTGTTCCCGCATATTCATGGCTATTCATTTATTTTCGCAAATACTGAGATTTACGTAAAATAGTATAAAACCTATCAAAAAATTGTCAAGACGACATTTGATAATTTCTTTCGATGTTAGTCTTAGTTGTTTGCTATACAGACTAATACATGGACGTTCTTTAGTAATAGGTTTCCATTTCCTGGTTTAACAATGAAAATACAGAAGTTTTGAAGGATTCCAAAACACATACAGAGAGAAATAAAAAAAAACTCTGGAAGCGGAAGACGATTATTTCTTTAAATAGTCCATAAACACGAGACACCGCAATTGTGCAGTGTAAACAGACCCTTTTCACATAAAAATTGATTGAATTTCTGATTTTAAAAACTAGTTGCCTTGTAACAACATCAAATACACTATTAATTTAATGTCGTCTTCTTATTCCACAATCTTCTGGTTCTCACTGTAGATTACTTAAATTGCATATAAACAGACAGACACCATTTAATTGTAAAAAGAACTTACTTAGCTTTTCTTGGGATTTTGAAACTGCAGTTGCAGTTGCAACAGCTGCAGTCATGGCATCTCTACACAATAATTCACATTATATATTGATAATCAAGATTTAAATACAGAGTATCCCACAGAACATGATAATTAAAATACGACTTTTTCAGATAACCTTTGATAATAATTTAATGAGTGTGTGTTTCTAGAATGATTTCAAAATGTTAGATATATTTTATATAGATATCAAAAGATCGCAAAACTTTTTTTGCTTGAAATGTTAAGTAGATTGAAATCTCTGAAAAAGGCAGATTTTAAGTTTTTCATGACTATTGACAATTTAGAATTTGGTTTGCGTTATAGATTAATCTCCAGTCATTTTGAAAGTGCAATTGCAAAATAACTTTGAAACGGGTTGTTTCAAGGGCCGCTTTGGGAAAATCCCTAAATTTTTGCAACCTGATGTCATAAAACTTTTCAAACTGTGTTTTTTTAGATTATATTATCTAATTTTAAAATTTTAAAGGTTTACTCTATTACGTTGCAAATATATATAGGATAGATTAGAACATTTGAAGTTTGTGGCACAGACTCAATTCCTTTGTTATCAAAAGCAAAATTTAGAATAACGAACATTTTGTACAAAATTACGAACAGGCTGCTGGGAATTTGAAAATGTACGAGATATTCGTAATAACTTAATGTTTAGAATTTTGCACAACATGTTCGAAATTTTGAAATGCTTTTGGTAGTGCGATATTATGAACAAAATGTTAGGGGTTTTCCTTAAATAAAGCAATCTAATTTCTTTGTAAATTCTGTGATTTTTTAGTGCATTATTTTCCTTGCTGCGGCCACTGTAGCTCCTGTAGCAAAAATAGTCGCATCAGCTGGGGCACCGTGCTCCTCATTCATCTTAGATTCTATCAATAAAATTTTTTAATTTTTTTAAAAAAATAAATCCGTACAAATAAGGAGTTTCCAGCGAACAAAAAATAATTCTAAAAATGCGAAACTGGTGATACGTATTTAAAAAAATTGCAAAAGAGAATTTAGCAAAATAATGCTAATGCAAATACTTTGCGCGCAAATACTTTTTGCGAAATGCGAAATTTTCGTGAAACGATAAAATACCGAAGTACAGGGTTATCAACAAAGGATGAGACTTTAATGTCGTGAAATTGCGATACTTTTTCGCAGTGTATTAAAATTGAATTTCAAAATAATTGATTCATTATTTCACCACTGTAACTAAATTATGAACATTTAATGCATAAAATAAGCGTTAACTCTTTTGTAGTTTTTTCAGGTTACCTCGTGTTTAATAAATATTAAACATGAATTAATCTAGAGAATGATCAAAGGTGTTTTTTGTAAGAAAAATTACCTGTTTCCTTGTTTTTCAAATCCCCAACAGCCTAAATTAAAACAATTAAAAACGTTTATTTTCTTTTTCAAACACTTCTGAATATTTTAAAAACTCAAATATATTCATTTATAGTTTCTTCATTATTTGATATAAAGAATTGATTTATTTTGATTGAATAAATTTACAACATGTTTTTTGGTCAATATGTTTATTTCTTTGATTTTTACACATTCTAGTTTTTTTTTGTATGTATTATAACATAATGAATTTTTTATTAAATATATTGTTAAACGTATGAAACGGGTACATCAATATATATATAAATATAAAATAATCAACAAAATCAGTCTTTAAATTTTTATAGATTTATATGTATATATATTTTTTGCTTGTCTGTTTGTTGGATCCAAAAAAAAACGTCAGAACGGCTGAACCATAAAGTCCAAATGAACACATAGATAGGATTTTGCCTTCCAAATCAAATATATTTTGGAAATACACTATTAAAAAATTTAAAAATCCGCAAAATTTTATCTCTAAATAAAATAGAGTACAAAATAACCCATTTTTTAATTAGCCTACTGTAAGAACAAAAAACTGATGATGTTTTAAAGCAATTTTTGAATCTATTTTTAGCAAAATGGCTCTGTTTATACTGCATAATCGCTGTGCCTCATGCTCATTGGCATGTTTAAAATCATAACTTGAGCCTAAAGTCGTCTTCCTATTCTAAAGTCTTCTGGTCCTCACCAAGAAGTATGGAATACAATGGAGAAGAGATCGACCCGGACCGCCTACCAAATGATTTAAACATGCTTTGCAGACGGTACTCCATTTTAAAAAGAGTCGTCTTTTAATTTATTAAATGTTTTTTTTTTCTATACATATCAAATTAAACCCGCCGTTGGACCCATAATGTGTACTGACCCAAGAACATCATGGTGAACATGACTGGATGGGCACCTCAATGGAGAGAAAGCAAGTAGAAGGAGATGGTCCATCTAAGAGACAATGAAAGACTTAGGATGGGCACTGGGCAGGGCCTGCATTTCATACTACAAGATCATGTACAACATAATCGCATGTAAGGCCTCCTCCCAGATCGTAGGGCTTGAGATCGAGAAGAGAACAAATGTGGAGCGACAGATGCCGATGAAAAGGAGAAAATATAATATACCCGTTAAATCTAGATTTGGTAAAGGACAGGCGAAACACATTTCAAAATTCGATTTTGAATTTTATTTTTATGAGCTTATTCCATGATTTTTTCATAATTTCATGATAACATTTAAAATCTAGTTTTATTAAACATAAATCTCTATTCTTTCGATTTTTACTGTCAAACCAAAAACGAAACGAAGGTGAAAGACCGAATAGACCGGGTATTAAGTTTAAAGCCAGATTAAAATGTGAATTGCTTTTAGTCTTTCCGTCATGTTTTCTGTTTTTACGCGGTTTGAAACTTTCAGCGAATAATTGAGGTAGCGTTGTTTGTACTTCTTACATTTTTTATTTAAATGATTTCAAGTCAGGATTAAAAGTGAAGTGCTTTTTAACTTATTTTTCGGTTTGGTAATTCCTTGTTGTTTTTCTATACAGTTTATCTAATATCGGTTCGAAATTAATTTTATTTTATATTGTTTTAAATTGTTTTCAATTCCGTTAAGTTTTTCCACATTTCGTTTTTTTTCATTCTTTTTGACTCGTTCTATTTACTGAGCTTAAAATACCAATTACCAAAAATGTGTGTGAATGTAAAACTTCGGCTTAAATAGGCTGTATTTAGTGAAGTGCTTTTTATAAACCTTTTGATTACCATATAAGGCATAAAGGCATCTTTATGCCTTATATGGTAATCAAAAATATAATTAATTAATCAAAGAATATTAATATGCTTGTATTTAATGTATACATTTTATACAATAAATAGATTTTAATTATAATATCAATGTCAAATTAAACCGATTTTTTATATCATAAAAAATACGTTTGTATCAACAATTTTTGAATTGCAAAAAAATGAGTTTTTTGGCGTTATTCAGTCTACTTTTTTCCCTGTGTAATGTATACAATAACCTATTCTGAATACGTGTACGCGGTTTTTGTACATCAGAGCCCAAAACTTAAGACAGGGTATCGTTCTGAAAACTAGTTCTAAAACCCGGGTTTCACGAATGGGGTTAGGCAGTTTTAAGAATATTAATATTTTTGTTATGAAATATTATTTTATTCAGTTTGTTTATATTCTCATTTTTTTTGATTCTCTTAAATCAAAATCTACACAAATGTTAAGACCCCAAGAAGGAAACTCGGGAGTTTTGTTCAACGATACTCTTTTAAATTTCGGGCTCAGAGCCCAAAACTTAAGACGACAGAGCCCGAAATTTAAAAGAGTATCGTTGAACGAAACTCTCGAGTTTCCTTTATGGGGTCTAAGCATTATTGTAGATTTTGATTTAAAAGATTTAAAAAGTGGAGATTATGAAGAAAATAAATGAAATGATATTTCACAACAAAAAATATTGATATCCACAAAACTGCCTAACCCCATTCGCGAAACCCGGGTTTTAAAACTGGTTTTCATTACGATACCCTGTTTTAAGTTTTGGGCTCAGAGTCCAAAACTTAAGACAGGGTATCGTTGTAAAAACCAGTTTTAGAACCCGGGTTTCCCAAATGGGGTTAGGCAGTTTTGTAAATATCAATATTTTTGCGATGAAATATTATTTTATTTAGTTTATTCATATTCTCCATTTTTTCTAATCTCCTAAATCAAAATCTACACAAATGTTAAGATCCCAAAAAGGAAACTCGGGAGTTTTGACTAAATTTTTAAATTTCAGGCTATAAAACTGAGCCCGAAAATTAAGACAGAGTATCGTCAAAAAACCCGGTTTCGCAACCAGGGTTTCGTGTATAGCGTAAGAGAAATTTGTAGATATCAATTTATACTAATTCTTACATTTTTATCTACAAAAATGTATAGATCACAAAAAGGAAACTCTGGAGTTTTATTCACTGATAATCTCTTAAATTTCCGCCTCTGACAAATTGTACATAATGCACACTGTACAACTGTACTTCAAGACAATGATTTAAGATAAACAGCTGATCTAGTTGAAAGTGACTCCTAACCATGGATGCTCCTGACTGAACCAATAAATATATCTAATTTGACAGTAACAACCAAATATTTAAACCATTAAAAGTTAAAAATTTTTTATGGGTTTTTATTTGAACTTACAGAACCCTTAACCTAATATTACATTAATAAGTCAATAATTAACAATCTTTCTTCCGTATTTTCTAAAACGGGAGGGGCTTGTAATTTTGAAAAACATTCTATATTAATTTTTTAATGGACCTTCAAATAAATTGAACTTAGAGCGTGGCTCATTCTAAAACAATTAGGACTATATTTATTTGAATCAATAAGGAAAAAAAAACATATCGTCTATCTGTCAGGATGTCTACATCCTATAAATGTCACAACGGATCTGGCCCAGATTTTTTGTTGCCAATGCACAAATTTTAACAAAAAATCTGTAAACATCAAAAATGCCGAATTTCAGAGCTAAAATTGTTAATAGCACAAAGGGGGCGCAAAGCGGCCTGAAAGCCTAATAATTAAAAAAAAGTATATAGAAAACGTTACAAAAAGAAGTGTTGAAGATATAATTCCTCTAGTATGTATAATATTGTGATTCCTTATCAAATTCCCCCCCCCCCTCCCCCCAGATGCCCATAATGCCCCTTCACATCCCTCATTATCTGTTTAAACACCCCTTAATCTTTGAATGATAAATGTTGATATGAGTTGATAAGGACTGAATATTGAAAGAGATGATCAGTCCATCTTCGACCTCTCATGGTCACATTTCAGCATTTGATTCTTGTCTGTCTGTGGCTAGCTCAAATACGCCAAATTTCATTTAAAACTCTTAATTTGGATTTTATGTATAAATTAAACATGCAAATACCAAAAATTGTTCTTTATATACAACTTTATTAACAAACAAGAAAAAAGTTAAATTAATTTCGAATTTTTCTTAAGCTTTTTGATTTGTAAGCATCGAAGTATATAATTAGGTTCTTTTCTATCTGTAGCTAGCTCGAGCACGCCAGAACTCCCTTTTAAAAGATTCGTATACCATTTAAACACAAGAAAGTTAATAAAAAATGCGAAAAGTTTTTAATGTCCAAAAGACTTTATTTTATCATTATATGGCATGAAAATGAGCTAGGTAAAACTGTGGACAAATTCCAACAATAAAACAAGAAGATTTTTTAAAATTTCAATTTGCTTCGTAAAAATCTGCATATCTGTTCTATATATTCAAAACGTTATCCTTTACAAGTTACTTTTGTTACATGATGCAAAATTATGGCTCTTGCATAATATATTGGTCTGAGCGAAGAAAAAAAACGTTGGGAATTCATAGATCTAAAATACTGTTCTGATTGAGCCATATGTTGCATATTGAAAAAAAAATTAAGAACATTAAATTGTTAAATTTTCTCAGATATCTTTAATTAGAAAATCTCACACTTTTTGTGCACTTAACGCGCCGCCGGGTCAATCACACATTGTGTACACTAGACGGGCTGGTACGAGTAAAGACTAGACTGATAACTCCTTGGACTGGTTCGGATCATGTCATAATCGGGCTCTGATTATGTTTTACAGAAGTATGGCGGTGAGCTTGAGCCTCTTGTCCATAGTCCAGGCTATCATACGGATCTACGACTACTGTACAGGATGGTTGTACAGGATTCTTTACAGGTAGATAATAGGTATTTTTCAGCTTTGGAACTGCGAGGGGTCCACAACAATCTGACCAGTGAGCCACACATAAATTTGACTTGAGCTCATTAAAGAACCATTATTTGTTAAGACCGGAGAAAGTTCTGGAGGAGAGAATGAAGCAGCGAGCGGTTCAGGTCAAACCAATCCAGCCTGGAGACAACGAGGTTCAGTAGAATTAGTTATTTAATGTTATAGATTTTTTACTGACAATTGTTTTTAAAAGATTACTTTAACAATTTATAATAGTTCCTTAAAATCTAAACATAAGGATTAATAATTTAGTATCTAAGAATGGTGAATAGTTCAAGGCTTTTCTAGAAAGCAATTTTACAGCACAGACAAGCAAAAAATGACCACAATATTTCTTGCAAGATTGATCTAATGTAGTCACTCCAAGGTGAAACATTAATGACACACTTAATGTAATAAAAAATGGTTTTTTAACCTCATTCATTATCCCTTTCACAAATTGATTTTACATTTGAACATATCTCAAGATGTTATTTCTATTAATGGAAGTATTTTATTTGAAAACATTATATTTTGTTTAGGTAACCTACAAACCCCTTCCTATGGAGACTTCAAAACTTGTCAAGGAGTTTGAACTGGCTCAGTGCTCAACTATGGCTGAGGTAGAATATTATCTACAGTAGTCGTGGTATACATCAATAGAATAAGGACGACTTTCGAGTTCAAACTTCTGATTTTTACCAAGCTTTCAAACAGCATGGATTTGGATACACATTACACAATGCAAATAAAACACGAAGACGGCACTTATTTATTTATAACGGAAGGACTCATTTGTCCTTTAAGTGACCTTAGAAAAAACGAGCAGCCCGACCCGCCAGCATCCCCATTAGAACTTATCAACTTTGAATTTAATAAAGCTTTTTAGAAATCAAAAATTGAAAAAGTCGGCTTTATCTTATTTATATTAATTCTAACCACTGTATATATCTACTTATATGTTTATGTATGGTTAAATTTGACCAATTTTGAGAAGAAATTGTTTACATTTATTATTTTCTAAGTGCACAAATTTAAACAGAAAAGTCTGCGAAATAATATTTTTAAAGGAAAATGGCAGCTTGAAGAGTTAACAAGTTAACACCTAAAAGTATAGAAAATGATCTCTGCAAGCCTACAAAGATAAAACTTTATTTTTTTCTTAACTTCAATTTGTTGGTGTATTTTCTTTTTCGTCACCTTTCATTTTATATGAAAAAGATTTAATATTTGTTGTTTTTATTTTTCCAATCAACAAAATCCAAGGTTGCTCCTTCTAAATTTGATGTATTTTGTGAAAATTTTAGCTATCTAACCTTTTTGGACCAGGAGGCAGGTACCGTAGAAAACTGAGAGTTTCTAAAAGCCAAAAAATAGCTCGGTTTTAAGACCAAGATTTTTTAAAAAAATCTCAAAAAATGCCTGATTTAGAATAAAAATATTCAAATTGTATTCGTTTCCTTCAAAAAGGGTACTAAAAGTGTGATTTTCCCTTTACGCAAAGGGTTATAATTATTTACAACTACTTTAGAGGGAAGTTAAAAACATCTCTCGCTGCGCTCTGGATGTTTTGTAGGCAAAATTGGTCTTCAGAACCCTTGGTTTTTCTTAATTTATTTTATTGTCCCAAGGGACGTTAAGGTACTTAACCTTCCTCGGTAAAATTGGTCAAAAGGCGGTTCAAACTGCTAGCAAGAGATTACATTTCAAAATATGACCTGTGTTTGTTTACAGGTGTGGAGGTGGGCGGTGGACAGGTACAAGACCAACAACCTACTCGGCACAAGGGATGTGGTTGGGGAGGAGGATGAGGTTCAGAACAATGGACAAATATTCAGGTAAAGTTCACATTTATCTTCTATCTTTTTATGGATATTTTCACGAAGTTTGATTTAATTCGAAAAGAAATCTCGTCAAAAATGTTTGATAAACTATTTCCGAGATTTTCACGAAATTCTTACCCAAACAAAGCACCTTAGGAGAGTGGAGTTCTATCCTTTTTTTAAGTTTTGGATTGATTATTTTTAGAAAGCTTATACTGGGAGATTACCGATGGATGACCTATGAGGATGCTGATCAACTTGCTGATAATGTTGGACGAGGTCTCCGTGTACTAGGTCTAACCCCGAATAAACCAATTTGTATTTTTGCTGATACAAGAGCTGAATGGTTGGTTACTGCACAAGCTTGTTTTAGGTAATAAATTCTATTCAAAATCAATTCTTATTAAATTTTATGAACGAGACATTTTCATTGAGTATGTGGAGAAATCCAGTGAATTCTGTAGTTTCAAATTTAAAATTTGACTCATATAATGAGTATGCAAAAAAAGTCGAGTTGGATTTAGAATTTCCTGAGAAAAGGGTTTCCAGCGAAAAGTAAAAATTATTTCGCTTCATTTTTGCATTTCGTTCGCTCGAAAAAAATGCGAAAATTTTCGCTTTTTTCGCAAAATTTCGCTTCAATCTGTTTCGCGGAAAATTGCGAAATTTTCGCAAAATAGAAAATGCGAATACATGCCAAAATTTTGCGAGAAAAACTGATGCAAAAATTTTGCGTAAAAAATAATGCAAAAAATTTGGCGAAAAAGATAATGCAAAAATTACGCGAAAAAATAGTGCAAAAATTTCGCGAAAACATGCAAAAATTTCGCAAAAAGAAGGAAATTATGCAAAAAAAATACAGAATTTAAAAATAAAAAATGCAGTTTTTTTTGCTCTGAACACATCTGGATTATAAATTAGTTAAAAAATAGAGTGAATTAGCATTGATAAAGAAAATATTGCAATCTTAAAAGTTAATTTAGTACTTTCGAGGATGTTTAAAAGTAATTTATATTATTTGAACGACCCTAACATAACACATTATCTTTTTGTTAGACACTCATTGCCAGTTGTTACTCTGTACACTAATCTTGGTGATTCAGCTATAGAACATGGTCTTAACGAAACTGAGGTAAAAGCTACTGTTAAAAACATATTTACTAAATTATATGGAATTAAATAAAAGCTTCAAAGGAATTAAGTCTTTGCAACAAACTCTGATTTAATAATCTCTATATCTTAGCAACCCAACAGGGTTGACCTTTCATATTTAAAACTTAATTATGTTAAATTAAATAATTTTTTAAGTTTAAAATATGAAATGCTTACAAAGATATGGGGATTACAATATTTGAGTTTGTGACAAAGGCTCAACTCCTTTATCTTTGTAATGAATATGAACTGCTGCCTAAGTTTAAGAATATTTTGAAAGAGACTCCTAACATCAAGCAGATTGTATACTTTGATAATCCAATCAAAAGAACAGATACGGCTGGATTTAGACCAGATGTCAGGTAATTCAAATTTGATAATTTTAGCTACAGGGTGTCCCACGAAACATGAGAGTTGGTAAATAGTTTGATTGTCGTCTTCCATGCACTGTATTAGATATTAAAGGTTGTTTGCAGTTTATTTCGTTTAAAAAATCTTTTGATCAAGTATATTTTACTTTGAAGTTAATTTTACTATAATTTGACTCCTATAAAATATTTTTATTAATGTTTTTGGTATTAAACATCTTAACAAATTATGGAAGAAGACATTCTAAACTATTTACTAGCTGTCATGTTTCGTAGGACACCCTGTAGTTTCGAAAACGAGCTGAAGTTTACAAAATCTAACAAAAATTCCATTAATACAATACAAGTCCACAATTGGAAAGAACTATTGCTTGAAAAAAAATTTTTCTGAAAACTAACTCGTATGATTTGATGTTTGGATGTTTCGTGAAATAACTGAGGTTTTTGAAAATATGGGAAAAGCAAGGAAAAAATGTTAATATAGTGAAACCAATCGGAAAGAAACAATTAATATGCCAAGACTTACTAATCCTAATACCATAACTTGGGGATTTTATTAAAAATGAAAAGAATTTAAATTATATATTCTTGGTTTTTGGATTTTTCAAAACTCATTTTATCTCATTTTGTTTCTCAGGATTGTTAACTTTTGGGAAGTTGTAACAATGGGGAAAAAGTCGACAAACAACAATATTATTGATGTTGATGTTGAACCTGTTCTTCCAACACCAGACTCACCATGTATTATTATGTACACCTCAGGTACACTTTACCAGACTCACCCTGTTTTATTATGTTCACCTTAGGTACACAATACCAGACTCACCCTGTATTGTTATGTACAGCTTAGGTACACAATACCAGACTAACCCCATATTATTATGTACACCTTAGATATAATACACCAGACTCACCCTATATTGTTATGTACACCTCAGGTACACAATACCAGATTCACACTGTATGATTATGTTCCCCTCAGATACACTATTCCAGACTAACCCCGTAATATAATGTACACCTCAGGTACAATACACCAGACTCACCCAGTATTATTATCTCAGGTAAACTATACCAGACTAACCCGATATTATTATGTACACCTTAGATACAATACACCAGACTCACCTTGTATTGTATGTACACCTTAGGTACACAATACCAGACAAATCCCGTATTATTATGTTCCCCTCAGATACAATACACCAGCCTCACCCTGTATTATTTTGTACACCTCAGGTGGTACAAAACACCAGACTCATCCTGAATTATTATGTACTCCTCCGATATACTTTACCAGATTCACCCTGTATCATTTTGTACACCTCAGGTAGGACAAACCACTAGACTCATCCTGTATTATTATGTACACCACATGTACGCTATTCCAGACTAACCCCGTATTAAAATGCACACCTCAGGTACAATACACCAGACTCACCCTGTATTATTTTGTATACCTCAGGTGGTACAATACACCAGACTCACCCTGTATGTACACCTCCGATACAATATATTTTAAGCATTCTTACACAGGTATAGTCCCCCAACGGACATTTTTGTAGTTTTCATCCCTTAGAAACATGAGCATGTGGTCGATGTTATCAGTGCTTCAAAGAATTATCAAAGATATCAGAATAAATCAACATATAGTTTATCATAATATACAATATGCATCTTGTAAACATTATATTTGGGGGGAAATCTTTAATATACAAGTAAATTTGGACAAGTCAAAATTATAGAAATATTAGAGTGGCTTCAGATGGTAAAGTTGCATACGCTCTTAGAAATCTTGTGTTAAACCTTGCATAGAGTGACTGAAACACAATTGAATTTCTTAACAATAATTTTTTAAGTTCTACTTGGCGTCGTTCCTAGGGAACGATCTGTCTTTCACGGGAACGAATGAATCGGGACTGAACGAACGATTTAAAAAAAACGTTGAAACAAACCCAGCCCTTCTACCTTTTTCGACAAAATGTATATTTAATTTATATTTTAGGTTCTACTGGTACTCCAAAGGGTGTAGTTGTGACTCACAGGAATATTGTCAGCTGTGTCAGCTCATACTTGACTCATCTTAACACTATGGACTTTACAGGTACAATTGTAGCAAAAATTGTGTAAACATAACATTCTGTAAACTTGCAGTAAGTTGTAAATTATTAGTTATTTAATGTTGTAAACTTAGACATAATGACATTATTCATTGAAAATGCGTTTCCATACTTAACATGATTAGCTTAAATCATGCGACACACTTAAATTACGCTGTAAAGCATGTGTAAAGATAGTTTAACTGCGTTATATCTATTATATCTAATCTTATAAATACGTATATCAAACTTTAACTGTGCGATAAATACGTAATATGATGGTCTAAATCGTGTAATATATCTAACATCGTAGGAATTGTAACTACGTCAATTCCTGTGTAAGTTGTGACCTAGTAAGTGCTATGGAGTATCTTCGTATTGTTTACTGCTTGAGAGTAGACCTGAAGAATTGTATTCTGGTGGATCGTTCCCATTCATTTTGGATCGATATCTAGCTTATTGAAAGCTAGACTGGAACCCTGTTTTGATAAGCAGGTTGAATCGCCCCCAACATTTCGGATCGATATATAGCTTGCTAATAGCTAGGCTTGTGTCCCTGTGCGGCATTTAAAGTGGATCGTCCACATCATTTGGGATATACATATAGCTTCTTGCATAGCTAGACTTGTGTCCCTGTGTGGCATTTAGAGCACCAGATCCTCCCCATCATTTGTGATCAATATATAGCTTCTTGGATAGCTAGGCTTGTGTCTCTATGTGGCATTTAGAGCACTGAGCTAATAGCTTGTTGGATAGCTACGCTTGTGTCCCTGTTTGGCATTTATAGTTAGGTGGGTTGTGTCCTGGTTGACCCTGATAGCGGACGGATTGTGCCTGGATAGATACATTTCGAGAACTTGTTATAGTGTATGTGTTTACTACACAGTTTCAACCTAAATTAAAATTTTTTTTCTTATCTTGGGATAAAGTCAACCCCGAAAAAAAACATTATTAGATCTCAAATATGTAAACATTGGTTACCATAACATTTTTTGGTGTTTTAATTTGTTTAGGGTTCCAATGAAGAAAAGTAAATTTTTGTTAGTTTCTTAAGAACAAAATTACAAAATGATAATCACAAAATTTCAGACGAAGACCGCTACATTGGATACCTTCCCTTGGCTCACATCTTGGAGCTGATTGCTGAAAACATGATGGTTGTGTTTGGTGTTGCTATAGGATACAGTAGTCCCAACACTCTAACTGATAAATCAACCATGATCAAGAAGGGGGCTAAAGGAGACACCACTGTGCTCAAACCAACATTTATGGCCTGCGTTCCTCTCATCCTAGATAGAATTTATAAGGTATAAATAAATAAACTTAATCATAGTATAGTAGCCATGTCAGTAGCCAATAGTAAATTTGAGAAAGTTTACTCTGCATAGCACTGCACTGGTGAGAATGCATACACTCTCCATTGAAACATTTGGTAAAGTTATTTTCCTTTCGTAGGGTATCCATGAGAATGTTCGAAAGAAGGGAGATTTTACTGAGAAACTGTTTGATTTCTGTGTTCGATACAAGATGGCCGCTGCGGAGCGTGGCGAGATAACACCTGTGATGGATAGGTTGATATTCCGTGCAGTTCGGAACCTTATTGGAGGACGAGTCAGGGTTATTCTCACTGGAGGAGCCCCTCTCAGCCCAGAATCTCATGATTATATCAGGTAAAATCATAACCTTTGAACTTAAAGTAAAAGTGCAATACAGTTCTAGAACCGTAAAATAATTAATTATTGCCATAATTCGATTTCATTATTTTTTAATTGTTACAAATATTGGCATGCTTGTATTTTCATTTTAATGACTTTTAAAACAGGCCATGGTCGACTACAAAAGTAGCATTTATTTAAATAAAAAAAAAACATGTTAGTGTTAAAAACAGTGTCTTAATCTAAAAGTTATCCTAATTCTAAAATGTTACTGTTCACTAGACCCTAACTTATGCATTGAAAATTAATTTTAATGCCTCCACTCAAATTAAATTTCCAATTATTTATTAGTATTTCTCTCTGGTAGGACTTGTATGGGTTGTCCAGTTCTTCAAGGGTACGGATTAACTGAAACATGTGCTTGTGCTACTCTGATGCCCCTGGGAGACCATAGTACCGGCCGGGTCGGTCCACCAGTCACAGGGGTCAATATCAGGTAAATAAACAAAACAACCAATCGTGGTTAGACGGGTTCTCATCTGACAAATTTTAAAGAAGGCTTTATATTTTCTAGAAATTATAATAAAAGGAACAGTACAGTGAACTCTTACCTAATTTTCTTGACCTTTTAATCTTTACAAAACCTGATCGTATTATTGGTGTAAAAGCTTGAAAGGTCTACGACATCAGGTTGCAAAGATAAAAATACTAGAAAATTATAGTTTGAGGCAAGTAATCATGGTTCCTTAGTATACAAATAAGTGAAATTATGTGTGTGTACATTGTACAAGAAAAAAATTCTTAAAAATTATATTATAACTTAAAAATAATAAACTTATAAGTAAATAAGCCTTGTTATTTAATATTTTTAAGTTTTAATATATTTTATTCAGTTATTTCTTCTTTTTGCAATTTTGTATGTTAATGAAAGTCGATCATGTATGAACTATTATAATTAACTATTTTTTCTTCACATTTTTTGCTTTTTCATCATTAAAGTAGTTTCTAAAAAAGGATGCACCTTTTTAAAATTCAGCAAGTTGATACTAGAAAATCTGCCCAAATAAACTTTAATAAAGGGAAAAAGTCCATATTTCCATCACTGGGGTTTCTCTAGCAGAAAAGTGACGTTTTAAAAGAGTAAAAATATTCCTTTATGAATGATTATTTAACTTTATAATTTATTTGATGCAGGTTAGAGAACTGGGAGGAGGGTAACTACAGGGTAACCGATAAACCTAGACCCAGAGGAGAAATATTAATAGGTAAACTTTTAACTTAAATGATCACCAACGTTTTTTTCCTAAGTACAAATTCATAAGTCTAAAGAAACTACACTTTAAACTCCATTATCACTCACTTGTAAATTCCTTTGCAAAGCACTCAATATTAACACTTTTGTATGTATTTGTTTAGATCCATCTCCTAATTTATTGAATATACACAAAGTTTGGTGTATTTTATGCGATGAAAACTATTTTTATTTTTAATTTGGTAGGAGGAGGAAGCATAACGACTGGTTACTACAAAAACCCAGAGAAGACTGCTGAAGACTACTTTACTGACAACTCAGGTCGTCGTTGGTTCAAGAGCGGAGATATTGGACAGGTAATATCCCAGTTCTATCCCAGTTCTTTCCCAGTTCTCTCCCAGTTCTATTCCAGTTCAACCCTATTTAGTGCTATCCTAGTTTAATCCTAGTTAGTTCTATCCTAGTTCAATCCTAGTTAGTTCTATCCTAGTTCAATCATAGTTAGTTCTATTCTAGTTTAACCCTAGTAAGTTCTTTCTATCCTAGTTCCACCGTAGTTAGTTCTATCCTAGTTTAACCCTGATTTGTGCTTTCCTAGTTTAATCCTAGTTTGTTCTATCCTAGTTCAACTCTAGTTAGTTCTATCCTAGTTTAACCCTAGTTAGTTCTATCCTAGTTTTATCCCAGTTCTATCCCAGTTCTATCCAAGTTCTATCCTAGTTCCACCCTATTTAGTTCTATCCTAGTTCCACCCTTTTTAGTTTTCTATCCTAGTTCAACCCTAGCTAGTTCTATCCTAGTTCAACCCTAGTTAGTTCTATCCTAGTTCTATCCCAATTCTATCCCAGTTCTATCCCAGTTCCACCTTTTTAGTTCTATCCTAGTTCCACCCTATTTAGTTCTATCCTAGTTCAACCCTAGTTAGTTCTATCCTAGTTCAACCCTAGTTAGTTCTTTCCTAGTTCAACCCTAGTTAGTTCTATCCTAGTTCTATCCCAGTTCTATCCTAGTTCCACCCTAGTTAGTTCTATCCTAGTTCAACCCTAGTTAGTTCTATCCTAGTTTAACCCTAATTAGTTCTATCCAAGTTCAACCCTAGTTAGTTCTATCCTAGTTCCACCCTAGTTAGTTCTATCCTAGTTTAACTCTAGTTAGTTCTATCCTAGTTCAACCCTAGTTAGTTGTATCCAAGTTCAACCCTAGTTAGTTCTATCCTAGATTAACTCTAGTTAGTTCTATCCTAGTTCAATTCTAGTTAGTTCTATCCTAGTTCCGCCCTAGTTAGTTCTATCCTAGTTCAACTCTAGTTAGTTCTATCCTAGTTCAACCCTAGTTAGTTCTATCATAGTTTAACCCTAGTTAGTTATATCCTAGTTCAACCCTAGTTAGTTCTATCCTAGTTCAACCCTAGTTAGTTATATCCATGTTCAACCCTAGTTAGTTCTATCCTAGTTTAACCCTAGTTAGTTCTATCCTAGTTTAACCCTAGATAGTTCTATCCTAGTTCAACCCTAGTTAGTTCTATCCTAGTTCAACCCTAGTTAGTTCTATCCTAATTCAACCCTAGTTAGTTCTATCCTAGTTCAACCCTAGTTAGTTCTATCCTAATTCAACCGTAGTTAGTTATATCCTAATTCAACCCTAGTTAGTTCTATCCTAGTTCAACCCTAGTTAGTTCTATCCTAGTTCAACCCTAATTAGTTCTATCCTAGTTCAACCCTAGTTAGTTCTATCCTAGTTCTATCCTAGATTTGACCACACCCTAGCCTAGAACGAATTGTCTCCTTCCCTAGATTTAACCCTTTAAACCCTGGTTTAGATGGAACCGGATGGAACCCTGAAGATTATAGACCGGAAAAAGGATCTGGTGAAACTACAGTTCGGAGAATATGTATCCTTGGGTAAAGTTGAATCTGTCCTGAAGACAAGTTCTATTGTAGAAAATGTCTGTGTTTACGGAGACTCAAAAAGGTAAAAAAAAAAAAATGAAAAAATGATTTAAAGAAATATATCTTTACACTTTTCCTGGTGGAGAAACGACGATATCTTCCAGATACTTGATCTGAAAGAAGTTTAAAGGGCATGCCCCTATTTTTTAACTGCAACAACAATCTCTTCAAACCATAAAAAAACTATTGTTTAGGAGCTACGTAGTAGCCCTGGTTTGCCCTGACCGTAGTGCTCTAACCAGGCTGGCCGGCAAGCTAGGAAAGAGTGGCGCAGTGGAAGATCTAGTCAATGACAGGTAAACTGATGATATTGTAAATACAATAGCTATATATAGATAGATCTAGATTAGTTCCTATCAGGTCACAACCTCACATGACCTTAGAAAAGGTTTATTGCCAGTCGATATATTCATGAATGTGTGATCAAAACCCAAGGATTAAAACCAGAAAGATGGATCCTGTAAGCTTAGTCATCTATATATTTACTAAACGTCAAAACGGCTGAGGCAATCGTTATAGTAACCCACGTGACCCTGAAAAATGTTGAAAAATGTTGATAAAATTTTTTTTTGGAAATCCAACAATGTTAATTGAATAATCCATGGAAATTAACATTCCTTTATAAAAAGCTGGTTTTTTGGTATGCAACAATTTTCATTTAATCCCGCCCCTTTTAAAAATAATAATAAATAATAAAAATAATTTGTTATTTTTTACAAAGGAATGTCCTCTCAGACAAATTAGAATCAATGGAAATTTAAACCCTCGAAGGATTCAATGATAAACCTGAGGGCGCAGCCCAAGGGTTTATCATTAAATCATTGAATGTATCATTTAATGCAAGGAGAATTGAATAGAAGGAGGGGGCGATAGGGTTTCCGTACACTTTGTTGTGACGTTTTTAGACTTCTGAAGAACTAGTTTTTGCGTAACAACAATAACAAAGGCAGCCGATCTAATGTAAACAAACATGAGTTAGTATACGGTGAATCTTCATCTAACGCCAGAAATGCCAGATGTTTGTTTATCATTTGTGTTATTGTTTACAATCTTTATTATTGTTGTTACGCAAAAACTAGTTCTTCAGCAGTCCAAAAACGTCATAGCAAAGTGTACGGAAACTCTATTGCCCCCTCCTTCTATTCAATTCTCCTTGATTTAATGTATCATTGAATGATACAATTCAAGCTAAAATTAATACCAGTAATGTTTGCAGGGATGTAGTAGGAGCTGTACTGAGGGAACTGATGAATCAGGGGAAACTAATGAAACTTCAGAAGTTTGAAATTCCTGGCGCTGTAAGTATTTATATTTATATGATTGTCTACACAAACCACAGAAGATGGGACTTAAATGACGTAATTTCTAGTAGCCGTCCATCACTGCAAACCAAGATGTGCAATTGCTATCACGCAAAAATCGAGAGTTTTTATCAACTACTTGTTTTTAACTCGAGCTATAAACAAGCACGTTGCATTTTTTAAATGTATATACCTAGGGCTATAAAAAATATAATTGAGTTGGTAAGTTATAACCAAGGTCAAGGTGTTGCGACACTTGAAAATCGTGGCTGTCTAAAAATTTGATGACTAACTTTTAGAATTTTATATATTTCCTTAAACTCTACTCTAATAATGTCGCTTGTTAGCTTTGATATTCCCTCTTTTGTTAGTGGAGCAGAAATCCGCCTTTCACTAAATAGAAAAGCAACAGTTAAATAATTTTTAATTAGAAAGTAGTTATAACCTTCTTGTTTATACTTTAATGACCTAAACCTACAGTCCCTTTAATGACCTAAAACCTACAGTCCCTTTAATGACCTAAAACCTACAGTCCCTTTAATGACCTAAAACCTACAGTCCCTTTAATGACCTAAACCTACGGTCCCTTTAATGACCTAAACCTACAGTCCCTTTAATGACCTAAACCTACAGTCCCTTTAATGACCTAAACCTACAGTCCCTTTATTGACCTAAAACCTACAGTCCCTTTAATGATTACCTAAAACCTACAGTCCCTTTAATGATTACCTAAAACCTACAGTCCCTTTAAAGACCTAAACCTAAAGTCCCTTCAATGGTCTAAAACCTACAGTCCCTTTAATGATTACCTAAAACCTACAGTCCCTTTAATGATTACCTAAAACCTACAGTCCCTTTAAAGACCTAAACCTACAGTCCCTTTAATGACCTAAAACCTACAGTCCCTTTAATGACTACCTAAACCTACAGTCCCTTTAATGACCTAAATCCTACAGTCCCTTTAATGATTACCTAAAACCTACAGTCCCTTTAATGACCTAAACCTACAGTCCCTTTAAAGACTACCTAAACCTACAGTCCCTTTAATGACTACCTAAACCTACAGTCCCTTTAATGACTCCCTTTAATGACTACCTAAACCTACAGTCCCTTTAATGACTACCTAAACCTACAGTCCCTTTAATGACCTAAAACTTATGAGATCTGACTTTGTTGGTCCAAATTGATGAATTTTAAATCTTACTCTACATGAAAATCTAAAATGATTAATTATTGATAAAAACCGCCCTTATGCTTGGCATGCAATGGTTTCTTGGAATCTAAAACAACTTTTGGCTTATTTTCTTTCAGCCTTATTTACTATACGTGTTTAACAGGGAATAGGAATAGGCAATATGGCGCTGGTCTGGCATGAGAAAGCCAGTCGCACTGCTTTGCAGACGAGTTCGGTATTACACATGCACACTTTTTTGGTACAGACACACAACATGACTACAGTCAGGGAAATTGCAGAACAATGTCGTCAATTATGATTAAGCTTGAATAACTACTAGTCTATTGTAAATTTTAAACAAATTATATTCTTTACATGAAAATTTGGCAAATAGTGTTTGTTGACTTAAATGTATAAATAATATAATATATGTATATTAAACTTATTTTTAAGTAAACAATTAACAATAAACAAATATACTCTCCTAGACTGTACAAATACCAAGATACTTATGTACTGTATAAACCTACAGTACACGCCTTCGGTTCGGTATTCCTTACACACACTCTTTTGGTACAGACCCACACACATGACGTTTAACCTATCAGTTTTTTTGGCTTTCAAATGGCGCTTCCAAGAATGTTTGCGTATCAAACATTTGTGGCATTTCCTGTTCATTGGAGCGCATCGAGAGTAACCAACCTTATTATAAACCCTTGCTTTACATTTTTTCCATTTTTTATTGTTAAGGTCTACCTGTGCCTGGAGCAGTGGACCCCTGACAGCGGGCTGGTCACCGCAGCATTCAAACTTAAACGGAAACCATTGCAAGAGTTCTATCAAGGACAGATAGATAGGATGTACGGGGCTTAAACTACTTGCTGTACAATAGAATACCTGCTGTACACCTAAACAATGGTAGCTTAGAATTCAGCTGTACAGATGTACATTTTAAATTATAGCTTAAATTATCCGCTGTACAGATGTACAATTGTTTTCTAAATTATCGCTTAAAATGCAAGTTGTACAGATGTAGTATAGCAGTTAAGAATATTTGCAGTACAGTTGTACAGTTTCAGCTTAAAATATCAGTTTTTTATCAGCTGTACATAAGTACTTATCAAGATTACCTGCTCTGCAACTGTTAAATTATGGCTTAGAATATCAGCTGTACAACGGTAGCTTAGAATTTCAGCTGTTATACGTCTGTGCAATTTCGCAAATTCAAATCAAGTTGAAGTCCTGCTAAATAAATCTTAATCTTGCAATAAGTAAAATGTACTTGAAATATTTTATGTAAAACTTAACATTAATTTAATTAACAAACTAGCAATTATGATTGGTCAATTCTTTGTATCTATGATTAAAAATTGTCAAATTATGCTCTTTTCTTAGAAATAAATCTTTAATCGAATTTTATATCGATTCACTTATTAAGAATCTAAGATATTATCAGGTATTTCAGTCTCATCAAAACTATTGCAGCTCTTATTTGCAAATACCATATAAGTTCTCAAAGTAAAATTATTCTCTACTTGTAAAATGTCTTCTCAATTTATGAAATATATTGTCCCGTTTTATCAATTATCCTTTATGTGAAATGTTTAATCTATGAAATGTCTTGTCTCTGAAATGTCCTGTCCATGAAATATCCTGTCCATGAAATTGTCTTGTCCATGAAATGTCATGTCCATGAAATGTCCTGTCCATGAAATGTCCTGTCCATGAAATGTCCTGTCCATGAAATGTCCTGTCCATGAAATGTCTTGTCTCTGAAATGTCATGTCCATGAAATGTCCTGTCCATGAAATGTCCTGTCCATGAAATGTCTTGTCTCTGAAATGTCCTGTCCATTAAATGTCCTGTCCATGAAATCTCCATTGAAATTTCATTCAGAGGAATTTAAAGTGGGACCCATATGTATAACTATGGAGGAGAAAGACGACTTTTGGACTCACGTTAGAAATCGAATAGTTCATTGCACATTTTCGCATTGTTTATCTTAAACGCATGATCTCGTTATCCAATGTGAGTACTTTTAAAATACAGGATCTAAGGCTTGATCCCTCAATTGAAGTTGTCCCTGCAGAGTATGACGATCACTGGAGATCGAAGAGAAATAAATTAATTCGAAGATCTGCATAAGATAGAAAGAATTGAAATCATCGCTTTATCTCGGAGATTCACAAAACTTAAGTTCAAACTTCAGATTTGTTAAAAAGTAAAACTGTTTACAACAAACAAATGTAACGATATCAAACATTTTATTCATTTTATTTTTTTATTTTATTAAACACATTTCATTAATATATATACATGGCACTTTCTTTCCTTAATTTGACTTTTAACATTTTAAATTTCATGGAGAAAAAACTTGATTTTTTTGTTATTTAGAAGGTCCACAAAATGAAAGTGCTTAATAGCAACATTGTTAAAAGTATTGTTGGGGTAAATTGTCTAGAAATTTGAATTTATGAAAAGTTAGCATTTTAACTAATTCAACATGTATCTATCTACATATTATGCAATTACAAAACATATGTACAAACAAACTGGTATATTATTCCTATTTATGTACAAAACAAACACATTTTTGTCAATTGGACTTATATGAATACAATAAGGAAATGTCAATGTTAAGAGCAATTAAAATGTTAAATCGAACAGCTTTGGTGGTGTTTAAATATAAAAATTAGGACTTCTTTAAGTAAATTTTTATTCAAATGTCACAAATAGCATGGATTTATATTTTATTGAAGCGTATCAGATGACCAAACAATTATAAATTTAAATTTTAACAAGGCTGAGTCATTATATTAAATTGACTTATAACACAATCACAGTAATCATATTTAACATATATTTTATATGAGTTGTAAGCTGGATTTCCGCCATTTATCTTGGTGAATTTGTTTATCAAAATCACTATGGCAGATTTTATTTCAATATTTTAAGGGCGGAACTATATCTCTTTGGCGGATCAAAATCCAACCGGTGGATCTTAATCTTCCCTGGCGGATCTAAATCCCCCTGGCGGATTTAGATCCCCCATGTGGATATAAATCTCCCTGAGCTGAAAACTTTAGAATGGTGGATATCAGGATTAAGGAGAGTTTCTAAATATCCAGAGCTGAAAACTTTAGAATGAAATATCCAGATATCCGATCGGTTAACTTTTCTGGAGTTTAAATTCATGTGGAGAACAAGCAATATTTAAACTGGATATTAAGAAACTCTCCTTAATCCTGATATCCACCATTCTAAAGTTTTCAGCTCAGTTTAAATATTGCTTGTTCTCCACATGAATTTAAACTCCAGAAAAGTTAACCGATCGGATATCTGGATATTTCATTCTAAAGTTTTCAGCTCTGGTGAATTTAAATCCTCTCTGCCAAATCTAACTCCCCCTGGTGGATTTTAATCCCCCTATATGGATCTAAATCCTCCTGGTGGATCTAAATCCTCCCCGGAGGATCTAAATCCTTCCTGGCAGATCAAAATCCTCCTTGGCGGATCTAAATCCTTCCTGGTGGATCTAAATCCTCCCTGGCGGATCTAAATTATCTCTGGCGGATCCAAATCCTCCATGGCGGATCTAAGTCCCACTGGCGGATCTAGATCCCCCTGGCAAATTTAAATCCTCCCTGCAAAATCTAAATCCCCTAGCGGATTTTTAGAAAAGTTCGTTAGGTCTGCTACTCCCAAACTCATCGTCTGATACATCTCCCTCTAGTTCTGTATAGTTCATCTTCGGCGCTAGCTTGTTAATATCAACCTACAACAAAATATTATCTTAATTCCTTTTTTGAAAAATAACATATTTTTTAGGTATCAAGGTACAAACTTAAACCTGATTCTGAACCTTTAATTTATATTTTAAATTCTTGAGATTTTCAAAAAATGAGAATGTCAAGACGACAGCTGAAACTCTTTCAATACTTCGATTCCAATTGGCTTTTACAGTCTTTTTGCGACTTTTTTGTAGATTGTAAAACGAAGGAACCAAGCTTAAACTTAAAGGAAAAAGACAGCATAACATTCCGTACAGTCGTCTCTGCAGTCTCATAGTTTGTGGAAAACCTTGTATAAAGGATTAAACAAAGACGACTTGCAGTCCACTTTATACTGGTTTTCCTAATTGCGCGATTTTAACAGTCATGCAGAGAAAATACGCAATATTGGATATCCTTATAAAACCCTGCATCAACAAATAAGATTAGTCTTCAAAAACATATTTTCAAAAAACATATAAAAACAGAAAACAAATTTATTTATCAGTATTTTAGTAATTAAATACCTTGTATTAAGAATGTTAACAACAATTTTTATAATTAGAAAAATGCAAAAATAACAAGAAAACGTCAATGACAATAGACTGAATAAATTAAAAAACATATTTTTAGATCAAAAATTGCTCTTTTGTTAAAGACTGCAAAGGCACAAAATTTTAGAAGGCAATGTTTAAATAGGATAAAAATTTTCTTTGAAATATTAATACTTTGCCTTTTTAAAGACGTTTTCCCAAAAACCAATAGATGGGGAGATCGAGGGGGGGGGTTATATATAGATGATATATGCATATACATATATAAATATATATATATATATGATATATGCATATACATATAAAATTCTAAAAAATTTACAGTATCGAACAGACATTTTGTAAAATATACCAAAATAATTAATAAAGCCAAGAAAATCAACAAAAGTTTAATCGATGCCTTTAAAAGTAGTAAACTTAATATTGACTATTACCAAGATTACATCCCACAAACTCTAAAGGAATTAAGTCTTTGTCACCAAATCAAATTTTCATTTGCTTGAAGCCCTCAGAAGAGAACGGACCTCTCTCACAGCAGTCCCGGCTTTACAGTTAGGGGGAGTTGCTGCATTTAGTTGCACACATGTCTTATCATACAGGGGAGTAGTCTGTCGAATGTAATATAGAATAAAACAAGACTCCATCTTCATCCTGGTGCAGCTGAAAGAAGGAATTTTACCCCTGATGGGTATACAAGCCATGCACAACGATATCGTTTTTTTTTACTCGACAAGCTGTGAGGACTGGACTACTGTAGAAGATTCCTCTTAATTGGGTTTAAGGGCTTACATCTCCCCATTTTGCATAGGGGGTTTCCTTAAAATTCCACTTAAATTGGAAAGACTATAACAGGAAGGGAAACAGCAAGCAATCCCTTATATCCTTCCTCCTACAGACCTCCTTATCTCTCTCCCACTTGCTATGTCAAAAGAACTATTTGGAGTGCATTAAATTGCAGAAACAAGAAATAAGAAGCAAGAAGCAAGAAAAAAAATGAACTGGAAAAATTGGAAGGGATATCTCTTGACATTAGAGATGGGGGCTTGGAAGACATCCCTCCAGGAGATGGTGAGACGCTCACTCCCCCCCCCCCCTCCCCGCCCCCAAGAAAGCATGAGGATGATGTTTTGCTTTGTCAAATGTAACCCATGAATAAGCAATTGAATACAAAGTTCCCAAAAAAGAAAGCAATATCCTCTCAGCTCGTTCAATTCAATGCAAAGTTAAAAAAAAAACAAGATCCTTTGAAGATAATTCTTACTTGTAGAGTGTCTTACTACAAGGAAGTTAAAAAAAATCCTTTTTTTCAGAAATTTGATTGAAAGATGTACAAACAAGCAATATAGAAATCTCAAAATATTTTCATCAGATATCAAATAGATATTTAAAATATTGTAAAACTTAATTAAAATAAATTATTAAAGTTAAAATTGAATTGACAAAATAATTTACTTTAAAATCCCTGGATATCTTTGCAAACTGTGGTGTGAGATTTTTACTTTTCAAACTATGACAATTTAAACAGGCAAAGTTCAAAATTCAAAGTTTGAAATATGAAAGGTCGACTGAAGGTTGAAAAAAATATGAGTTTTGTAAGAAAAAGAAATAATTTAAACTTTTACCTTTGAACTGTACTTATGCTTTAGGTTCTGTCCAAGATACGAAGTTTTATCAGCAACCTGTCTCCACCCATCCTGATAATAATAATAATAATAATAATAATGATAGCAAAAATAATAATGATAATAATAATCATTATTATAAAAATGATAACTAGATGAAGTGCCCGGCGTTGCCCATGACATTTTAATAACAATTTGAAAAAAATTGGAAGAAAAAAATGTTAAGCCTCTGTCAACCCCGGGGTATCTATGAGTTTCTGCAAAAAATATACATTAGGAAAGATAATTATCAAATAGATAATAATAATATTAATAATAAAAATAATAATAATAATTATAATAATAATGTCAATGTACTTAAGTATAATACAAAAATGTACACACTCACTCATCATCAACAAATTTACAACATATTTGATATTTTAAGCTTTGTTTTGAAAAGCTATTAAGAGATTACTGTGAAGGTTAAAATGAATCAAAACATACTCTTGATATTATTTACTATTCTATACAATACAGGAGCTAAATTTTAAACCATTATCAGGTCTAGAACAGACACATAACGTTAGGTTTTGCTATATTGACAAAAAAATGAATTTTAGTTGATTATAAACTTGTTTTTAAAAGTGATAAAAAATCCCAATTTCTTGTAAATTATTTGTTTTTTACTGTAGTTTAAACTTTCTGTCTAATTAGGAGTTTTCCCATTTTTTTCTTAGATTTCAAAAATTGTATAAAAACGTTCATCCATAAAATGTTTTGTAATGGCCCTGCTAGGGTTTTAGGAAAACCTTTGTGGTGGCATAAAATACAATCAAACGATTCTTTCTGGAATGTTTATTGTCGGATACCTTTAGCATTTGTTTTTAGAATGTAAATAAAGAAAGAAATGGAAAAATGAGGAAAATACTAAAATTGAGGTTTCATGAAAATTTTTTGGTTTGTATAAATTGCTCCGGGGTGTCCCAACAAACTTTTATTAAAACTGAAAAAAAAACTATATTTGATTATTGGACTAGTGACTAAATAAATGTTTAACCCTAAACAGGCTGGGGGGGTGTTTGGCGCCCCCCCCCCTATGGTTTTTTGTTCTAGCACTCTCATTTTTGACACTATCCCCGAGAAAATATTTGACTTTAAATGAATAGTAATTTAAAGGATTTTTTTTTATTTATAGTGTTGGGTACAGGGCGGGGAAAATGTCTGGTCTGGGGGAAATAATCTAAAAAAGCCCATAACTTTTTTGTGACTAAAGCTACAGTTCTAAAAACTATATTTTTAAAAAAGCCCTTGAAAAACGAATGTAGAAACATGTGTCACACTTTTAAATATTTGTTTAAAACAAAAATATTTTTTTCTCACTTGTTTGACCCTTTCTTGGCATTTTTTTCAACCCTCCCTAACACCCAAACTATTAAAGCTTTCGGTCTATTTTTTTTCTATGGCTTAAAATATTGGGCCATGAACATGCATTTCGACCCTATACATATTCTTCAAGGCCTTTTTCTAGGGGGGGGGGCGCAAAACGCATGGATTAAGATCGCCCAGCATTTATAGGGTTAATATGTGGCCTTTAGTGGGTCGTCTTCCATGATTCATGAAACCAAACCAAATCATTTTCTGTAATATACACGTTTCATAGTTATATTTCTACTTTAACAATTCAATATATATGTACAGTACGTTTTTGCTTCTATTGATACAGGCGCATAAACTTTTTACATAGAAGGATAATCTAAATGTTAAATAAGGGAAAGAAGTTGGTTAACACAGATACAGTTCTCGGCCGACAACATTTTTTTTAATAGGAATTTATTTGGTCATTTTAAACCCTGATGCTATTTAGAATACATGTGGAATTGTTACTAAATCCAACACTAAGGATATCAAATATCCTAATATAAGATACGAACTGTACAGAAATTTTAAAAATTGAATTAACCTTTTGTTCAAGTTGTAAATGGAAAATGTCTGTTTTTTATTTAATTTAGGATAGAGTATCATCTCGTCTAATTCCAGAAAATGTGGCGCTTGATTTTAACAGTTAGGGCCGCAACCTAAATTGCCTTGTAAGCACTTAGGACTAGAGACGAATAAAATTTTTTAAGTCCAAAAAATATCAAGTGAAATTTTCAAAAATTTCCGGAAATTTTAGCTACTGAACCAGACATAAAAATTATTAATCTTATTTTATTGACAACTTCCACACTTCTACACTTCACCACAGTTCCAGAGTTCCACACTTCCACACTTCCACACTTCCACACTTCCACACTTCTTCAACACTTCAACACTTCAACACTTCAACACTTCAACACTTCAACACTACAACACTTCAACACTTCAACACTTCAAAACTGAAAAACTTCAAAACTCCTAAACTCCTTATAACTCCATAATAAATGTAAAAACATTTAAAAATATAATTTTTTATTATTTCAGTCAAAAAATGTCTGCTATTACAAATATCAAAGGATTCCTTTGTGCATTTGAATCTTTCATATCGCTCTTGAATGTCCTTGGTTTGTTGTGGTTGGGTGTCTTGGTATGTATGTATTGATATATCAATATTGAAGAGAAACTAAATGGTCACATTAATATAGGTTTCGTTACAACCCGAATACTGGATTAGTACATGAATATTTAAAAATATGTCAGCACTGCATTAACTGGTTTTAGGGCTCGGCCCGGATTAGACAAGATGATACTCTATCTCACTCGATCTTACTTTAGTTTATAACATACAAACGTTTTTGGAGAAAAGTTACAATTTTTAATTCCGTAAGATGTGCTTTGCCCATAATTCAAATTGTAAAAATTTCTTTGAATTAGATTTTAAAGTCACAAACTCTAATTATCTATAGTCTATAACCCAATGTCGTTGATCAAACTGTTAATTCTAGTAGATCAAATTATCTATGTTTTAAATATCAAACTTCCATCTTGAGGTTGCAAAAATAAAGGAATTAGAAAAGTTTAGTTACAATTGGAGTAGTAAATATATGGTTTATGCAAGTAATTAGTGCATGATGTAAAAATGTCTGTAAATATATAGATGTAAATATATAATTGTAAAAATATAGATGTAAATATATAGAGGTAAATAAATAGATGTAAAAATATAGACGCAAATATATAGATGTAAATATATAGATGTAAATATATAGATGTAAATAGGTGGATTATTCTTTAGTTTCACCATTTAGATAAGGAACCAATTTTCTGCCCCCCCCCCCCATCCCCTATACCCCTTTTCATACAAAAATAATATTTAACTAAAACGACATCTAGTCTCTGATATATCCCCTTCCCCAAAACCGCATGTTATCCCTATATTTTTACCTTTGTAATCTGTTCGAGATTCTGCAGAGATTTTGAGCTTTTAATACCTCTACCCACACCAGATATTGATCTGGCACCACCAGCCCTAAATAGTAAGACTTTTTTTATTCGTTCGTTTTGTTTTTTCGTTTACATTTATTTCTTTTGTTTCTTTCATTTTCTAATTCCTTTTGTTTTTGTCAGTCATTCCGTTATTTCCGATTCTTTTGTTTCTTTTCTTTGCTTTGTTCCTTTTATTTCTTTCGTTTCTTTCGTTTATATCGTTTCTATCGTTTCTTTCGTTTCCTTCGTTGCCTTTGTTTCCTTCGTTTCTTTCGTACCTTTCTTACCTTTCGTTTCTTTCTTTTCTGTCATTTCGTTCTTTCCTTTGTTTCCTTCGTTTCTCTCGTTTCTTTTGTTTCTTTTGTTTCTTTTGTTTCTTTTGTTTCTTTTGTGTATTTTGTGTATTTTGTGTATTTTGTGTATTTTGTGTATTTTGTGTATTTTTCCTTTTGGATTTCTTTCTCTTTTCTTTTTTTCTCTCTTTCTCTACTATTACCTTTGATCCTTGTCTGACCCAGTGGGAGATGTGGATATATCAGATCTAGTAACTTTATTAGGTAAATATTTTGTAGTGTCTGATAACTTTAGTCTAATGCAAGGAAAGTTAATTGCGGTCGTGTATACTCTGCGTACACATTAAAACCAGTTCTCTTTGGGCGGAATTTGTAAACAAGATTAGATACATCAGTGTTCGTTTAGTATCCGAGGAGGTTAAAAGCATTTGATAATTTTGATAATTTTGATAATTCACATAATAGTTTCCTATGACCAGAATATTTCATTGATTATTTTATGTGAAAGATGGATCCCATGTCAGGCTTAGACATCCGTCTTGTGTTTACATTACAACCCAGAGACAGTACACTGCAGTACAAAAGATGTGTGCACTTCTGAAATAACTTTCCTTGCAATACATCCTTGAGTCTAGCTATCTAACGTTTTCTTATTACACAGTTGTATTTTAGTGTATCAGATTCTGTTTTATTGTAGTTTTTTTCTCAATTATTAAAGTTATATCATCTTTATTCATTGTTTCATTCTTTTATCCATTCTTTCTACATCCGTCTGTATTCTTCAATAAATTCATTATCTATTTATTATTAATTTATCTTCTCATTTTCCTCTTTATGGAATTAGATTCGTTTATAAACGTGTACTAATTCCTCTATAATTTCACCAATACTTGCCTCTCAGATAACTAACCCCACTCTCCCAATCTTACCCAGCCCCCCCCCCTTACCATCAACCTTACTTACTATATATTCCTACTCCTAGTGTTGGGACATTTCAAAGAAAGTCATTTCATTAATTGACAGAACATTTCATAGATAGGGCATTTCACAGAAGAAATTTCATATACGAGGAAATTCATGCCCTGTTATTTCGGGGGTCTCTCTGATTTTATGACACCTTCCTTATTAACCAAAAACCTAAACTTGTCCCTGAAAAAAAGTGTTTTATCTGTCTATGAAAAATCTGCACGGTCTATGAAATTTCCTATCTTATTTCCTAATTTATTTTTCTATGAAGTGTTTTATCCATGCATTGACCTGTCTATGAAAAGGCCTGTCTTTGAAATGTCCTATCTATGTAATGTCCTATCTATGTAATGTCCTATCTATGTAATGTCCTATCTATGTAATGTCCTATCTATGTAATGTCCTATCTATGTAATGTCCTATCTATGTAATGTCCTATCTATGTAATGTCTGTGAATTGTCCATCAATTACCTGTATTTCCCACTGAGTTGGTTCTTTATATCGTAAAGCCTGCGGCTGCTAAGTTTTCTAAACTCAGATATTTTCTCTTTCGTTGTCATCTGAATTTTTGGCGATCTAGTTTGAATCGTCAGTGATGGACGATTTAATCCTCCATTAGAATCGACATCCTTCTCATAGTCCTGCAGTTCATTCCACTTTGCTCCAACACTCTCGTCCCTATAGGTCGTCACTGGTCGTCGCATTCTGGACGATTTGTTAACTGACACTTTCACAGCTTAGCAGCACTTCCGCTTTAATAACAAGGACAAGGTCACTTATCTAATTTAAATAAAATTAAGTAAATGTAAGATTGAAGAGAGATTACAGGAGCAATTATGATGTTATCTCTTTGCGGCCATTCTTTGAATCTGAAAAAAAAATATTTTTAATGTGATTTAGTCAAAGTGATATTTGGCCACATGTGTAACATTTGAGACCTCCTCCCGCTCCACTAGCAATATACAATGAATTTTTATATCCATTAATTTCTATTTCCTTAAAAAAATATATATTCATATTTTGCAAGTTAGCACTGGTGCATTTCTTTATTAGATCATAAATTCTCCTGATATGATTATATCTCTCAGAATATAATAAAATTATCAAGCCTCAGAGAGCTCGTGCTCTAGACATAATGCTTCTACTTTGGACAAAAGATGAAAATTTAAATTCGTTAAATTAAATTATTAGAAAAGTGTGCAAATTATTATCGCAATTGTTTTTGCAATTAAATTGATTTTTCACCCTGTAATTCATAAACTTGATGCTAATAATATATGTTACCCTCTGTTACAACCCTTCTTCCCCTTTCCCTTATACTTTTTCACCCCCTCTCCTTACCTTTTTCCTGATTTATCATCATTGTTTTGTTAAAAAAGCGCAGTGTACATCCATCTTTTTATTTACAATTCTTAATCGCTTATAATGGGCCAACCAATCAAAACAACCAACTCTGGTTAGGCGGGTTCAAACTTGTGATTTTTTATTTGTATTATCTCGTGATTTGTAGTTGAATAAATATATGAAGAAAAAATATGAAATAAACGGGACTCTATTTAACAGTGGCAATTCTGATTCACAATGATATCGCTTAAATAACCTGAGGCGGAATTTAAAGAATTTGAGCCGCGACTTAAATATGGTTGGTTCCACTTAAAATTGTATTCAAATGTTTCAAGATTTAAGCCATCGCTTAATTTAAACCGGGTTTTGGCGGATTAAAGCCGCGGCTCAAATTCTTTAAATTCGGCCACTGTAAGTGTATTTTTAATTGACCCTCCATGCGAATATTGCAAAACCCGATTACAACTGTACTTAGAAACCTTTATCTGATCAATAATTGGGAAGACAATGTATTTTTTTCTAGGTTAAAAAGTGTTTAATTCTCATTATTCGTATTTGTTTTCCTGAAGTAGAAATGTAAGTCACGTTTGAAGAGCACCTTTTGTTGAAAATAAATATTAATATTAAACTCGTACTTGACCCACCAAAGCTTTTAAGAGTACCGTTGTGAATCGTGAATCTTTGCATTGATTACGCTTAGAGTCCCTCAAAACCTTTATCTGACTAACAGTGATGAAGATATGTCATTCATAAGTTTATAAAAAGGTTTAAACGGTACCGATGTGAATCAGAAATGCTACTTTTCAAATTAAGACTCATTTGAATTTACGTCAGCAATTCCTTTAATGGTGGTTTTTCCTTTTTTCCTTTTTTTCCAATGAATTTTACTGCAGTATTATAAATTGAGAGTTTGCCTTTATAATTGTACCAACATTTCAGTTTATGTCAAGGTTTAAGGATAAACTAGAAAAGTTAAATATTGGACACTCCCCCTCTGTCCCCTTCTCTTCTCTCTATCCCCCTCCTCCCCCTTCTCCCACTCTGCCCCCTTCTCTTCTCTCTACCCCCCTCCTCCCCCCTCAATTCCTTTACTTTTCTAATGTTTACACTCTGTTTTGGTTTGGTCAAGTTGTGATTACTATTGTTAATGTAGTTAAGGTTTATTTTGGTTCAGATTTATTTCTCTTAATTAAACGATTTTACGAAACGAACAATTTTACTAAACGATCGTTCAGCGAGAAAACGAAAGTAATAGATGCAAATGACCGATAATTGTGAGGACGAGGAAATCTATGAATTTTTTTTCGAATTGACTTGTTGAGACTTGTTCTTGGTTGATTTAAAGAATAGATGGTTCTGATTCAATTTGATCTCATTTGTTGTCCAAAAAATTGAACATGATTCAATTAAATTCATTCGTTTAGGTTTCGTAAAAAATATAAAAAAGTATTTAAAAAAAAAATCTTTTATATGAAAATTGATCCATGAAGCAACGCTTTTTCTTTTCTGTGAATTTTTGGTTGTTAAATATGTTTGCCCTTAATCGTTTTTATACAGTACTAAGGTTAAACGAATATCTTTATTAAAAAAAATATTTTTTTTAATCTTGCCAAAAAAGTCACTTTTTATATGGCTTTTAAATTACGCTAGTACAGTCCCTTTAATACTGGTTATAACTGTAAATGTATGTATACAGGTAGAAAACATGAATGCATAAACAAATCAATATTTGCTCTCCCGGATCTTGAATTAATTTAATAAAAATTTGTGATTAAATATGAAAAAAAAACAAGCAGGGTTTTTAATTTATCAGATTTAGGGATAGAAAATACATGAGAACACTTTTTTCATACAACTAATATTTTAATAGTTTTAATATGACATACTTTTAATGTGACAAGAACTCAGTTCCTTTGTGAAAGTATAAAAAATTTAAAATTTTCATTTTAAAATTCTTTGTTGGAATCCTCTTTGTTTGCAAAAAAAGTGTAATGCAATTGCTGGGGGGAATATAAACAAAAATTTGCATTTGTTTTTTTTTTGAAAAGATATGTTCAAAGGTTTTCGAAATTCACTAATTTTTATGAAATATTCGCATGTTATATAAAAAGTTTTGGAGAACACTGGAAAGTTTTTTAATCAAAAATTGCAAGATTCCTGTCTTTCTAGGCTGAGATTGTTATGAGAATGAAAGGGGGAACTGTGCATTTAATGTTTTAACTAACCACCCAAACAAATTCTATTGACTAAAACAAACGATAATTAAAATTAACAATTCTCGTACACCACAGTTTGCAATCTAATTTTGTTTACAAGAATTTGTTTTCCTGTCTCAAACCTACTCTTTGGTTAAAAATTCCAAACCTGCTAAATAAAGTTATTTACTTCGGCCAAAACAATTTACAAAGGTACTGTTATCGTTCTACTGGATTCCAGGCTATAGTTTGCTAAAGAAACCGATTCCATGTTTTTTTTTAGCGAAGCTGAGTTAAAAAATATTCTGCAAACTTGCATTTATTTCCTAAACAAGTTTCAGCCATAGAAAAAAAAATTTGTGCAAAAATTCTAATATATTGGGGAATCAATTTATTTCAGAATAAAAATACCACTCTTTTTACCTTTGAAAAATTTTCATATTTTTTCTTAAAAAACGGTTCTTTGCGTTTTCCTGTTTTCGTGTTTAATTTTTAAATGGGAAGAGCATTCAATGGAAAATTTGCAGGTCAAAAACATTGGTGAAAATTACACTAAATTGTTCAAACAAATCTAGGATTTCATATCAAACAACCGCACCCCAACTTCTTTACACAAAGTATCCCAGTTGCGCCTTAGAACCATTTCTCTGAAAAAAGTCTAAAATATTTCTCCTGAACCAATTATAGAAATAAATGCGTAATTGTACTACTAAACCGTGATAGGAATAATTTATTTGGATAAACTTTGCAGTAAGGGTGAAAAGTTGATTTAAAAAATAAAGTAACAAAAGTTTTGTATCTTCTATTAAATTTCCCCTTTGTATTCAGAATTGCAGCAACAGATTTAAATATTTCTTTCTTTATTGGGATAAAACAGATAACTAAGAGAAATAATTTTTCTACAAAACTTCTGTGCACATTTTTATCATTGCCATGCTTTGTAATATGGCACTGTTTGTGGAATCGTAAATGAAATTTAAATTATTTCATTTTATAAATGTTTAAATGTCGTTATATCAGTCCAAAGTTTTATATTTCTCAAATGTCGTTATATCAGTCCCAAGTGTAATATTTCTCAAATGTTGTTATATCAGTACCAAGTTTAATATTTCTCACATGTCGTTATATCAGTCCCAAGTTTAATATTTCTCAAATGTTGTTATATCATTCCCAAGTTTAATATTTCTCAAATGTCGCAATATCAGTACCAAGTTTAATATTTCTCAAATGTCGTTATATCAGTACCAAGTTTAATATTTCTCAAATGTTGTTATATCAGTCCCAAGTTTAATATTTCTCAAATGTCGTTATATCAGTACCAAGTTTAATACTTCTCAAATGTCGTTATATCAGTCCACAGTTTAATATTTCCCACATGTCGTTATATCAGTCCACAGTTTAATATTTCTCAAATGTCGTAATATCAGTACCAAGTTTAATATTTCTCAAATGTCGTTATATCAGTCCAAAGTTTAATATTTCTCAAATGTCGTTATATCAGTCCAAAGTTTAATATTTCTCAAATGTCGTTACATCAGTACCAAGTTTAATAGAATGTCACCTTCCTGGTTCCGAGTTTTTATAAGTGCGTCAATGTCCCCAGACTGATCCAAAATTATAATAGTGCTTCTTCCAAACCACAATTTTTAACAGAACTCAAATGTCGTCTTCCCAATCCTATGTTTGCAGAATACGCATTCGTTGGAACCAGGGTAGATTAGAGAGGAGCCGGGGTTGTAATGTAAGGGAGATTATGCTGATGATCTAGAGGGAGGGGGGGATGCTAGAAAACAGTTGGGTGGGGGGGGGGTTATAGTGTAAAACTCATTTTCCCCTTCCTCCTACAATATTTTTCCATCATGTCAAATTATATATAATTATAATTATCTACCAGAGAAAAGGAATATCTCGGAAAGAAATGTGAAATTCATCAAAAATAGCACAAAGTAAAAAATGTTTTTTTTCAATGTAATTCCCTTTTTAAATCTACAAATCTTACATTAAACAATAATTGAGAAAAATATTTTCAAATAGAAATGGAGAAACATGGGGGGGGGGAAGGGGGAGGTAGGGGTATTGAGGGTGAGGCAGGGGTTAAGAAGGGGAGTTAGGGGTTTAGATAGGGCGTGGTAGGGGTTTAGAGGGGGAGATAGAGGTTTAGAAAG